TATCACCTAGGTCAATTAGCCCAAAATTGAGGGAAGTGATCAAGAACCATCAATTTCCATGAATAATACTCAACTCAATATATCATCAAGATGCAAATCCGGTCATATGGTTCATAAAAAATCAATTACAATATAATAACTAGGGTTCTACAACACCCAAGTGAATTGGAGGACTACTCCATAGCTAGCGTGAGAAATACAACCAAAATGGAGAAGACAATCATCATGAGAAGAAGATCTTGCTCCTTGGATACTCTTAGCTCTCTTGGAGGTGAAATCAAGCCTTCGATGGTGGTGGGAAGCTCCAAATCTATTCCAACCTCTCTAGATTCGTCACACACTCTCTAGAATGCAAGAAGAACTCCAATTTCTCTATAAAAAATCAACTCCCCTTAAAATCTATCTGCTTCTTTACATAGCCGACAGTGCAAAGTTTACGATTTCCCGTCATTACCGTGAACTTTGAAACGAAACTGTGAGGTCGACTGGATGTGCGCTGTTACAATAACAAAGTTCACGATCTAGGTGAAATCCTCGCGGCTTGATACCGTGAGGTTTACAATTGCCCGCGACCCACCTTATTCCACTTGGGTCCTCGGTGAAGTTCACAATTTGGCTGCAGACATCACGCCCTGGCCGTGAAGAAATGCTATGAATCGTGAGTTTGATAGTTTTCACCATTTGTTCTAATTTTGGCTCACTTTTGTCCGACGTTCGTTCCTTTTGTCAATTTCACCTGCTAGGACCTGAAACATACTCAAACATACAAAACCCTAGGGGTCGTTTGGATAAGGGATTTTAATGAGGGATTTGTGAGAGATTTTAAAACAATCCTTCATTCTGCAGGATTTTAAAACAATCATGTGTTTGGAAAGATGAGAGTTTTTTACCATTAGAGATTAAAAACCTTCAAATGTGGGTTTTTGAAATAGCTAATCACCATCGGCTATTTCACAATCCCTCATTATTTTTATTTCTTTTCCCTAATTATCCCTTCCCTAACCCAACTCTTGCCTTCTCATCCATCTCTGTCACTCTGTCCCTTCCAAATCGTCAAAATCCAGTCCCCCTCGACCAATTAATTCCGTTCGTCCCTCCGAAAATCGCCATCCACAAAAGCCTCTTCATCCAGCACAGTCCCAGCCAGTAGAGAAAGCTCTGCCAACATCTGACTTGTCTCTCTCTGTATATGGAGGCTCGGTTTTAGATAAAGGGAACTGGTTCTCCTCCGCCCATCTCAAATCGACCCCAAAAAGCCCTGATTCACAACCCGAATCTCCGCTTGGCTCCCCTCTCAGCCCTCCATATTGTCGGTGTTTGAGTCCCTACAGGTTGATTGTGTCAGAGTTGGCTTTTGGTTTCAATCTTCATCGGCTTCCCTTTCTATTAAAGATTTGTCCGCCTTCGATTGTGCCAGCGCTGGCTTGTGGTGGTCAATTTCATAATGGTTGAATGGGTTCTGAGTTTAAACCCACCAACACAGAAGAGAATGCCCATCTTATAAGACTTGATTTGGTTGAAGCAGATCGAGATATGCACAGTAGCATATGGGTGGAAAGGATGCTTCATTTGGGCATGAAAATAAAAAATGAACAGACGAACAAGGAACTGGGGAAGGAGACAAGGATAATAATGTAATTTAGAGTTAGATGTTAAAATTCCACTTCTTGATCCAAACAAGTTATTTTAAACAAATCCTCCATATAAATTTCCAGGTATTTTAATCAAGAGATTTAGGCTTAAATCCCTCGTTATAAAAATCTCTCATCCAAACGGCCCCTAGCATAATATGATTCGTTATAGGGTTGACAGAAAACCCCACTACATCGCGTATCCATCCGAATTCGAACCGATCTACGCAGGTAAAACCCACATTGACCAGATTTTGGGCAGTTTGGATTAACCCCGATTGTGTAGTTATTGGGAATGGTACGAATATTCTATATCCGCCCCGAACCCGTCCAGTATCCCAATACCCAGATACCCCCTTGGCCCATCGACTTCTCACTTCTCGAATCTTGTTTTCACTTTCAACTCTATCCCATCATTCCACAACCCCACAATTCTGAATTTCTATCCCCAATCCTCTTGACTCCTCATCTTCTTAGAGCCACCGAATCAAACTCACACTAGCCATTAAATGAATTCTTCTTCTCAAATCCAAAGCTTTTTCCGTTGATGGAAAAGTGATAAATAATCTCTCAATTCTTTCATTCTGCTAGCACTGATTCTCATCTCTTTAGTATAGTAAAAGCAACTGCATATCAAGAGATATAGAGATGTAAGAGAAGAGTTTCAGTCATTCAATGGCGTCGATAAGTTTGAATTGACGAGAACCTCATTAAAGAAGAATTGTAGCAAAATACTTTTTCTTGTCTTTGTAGTTTCTTTTCAAGGTCTACTATAATGCTTTATTATCATGTTGTTGGAGTTGTATAAAATTTTTGGAGTTTTATAATTGGGTATTTAATTTACACGTGGATACCCGCCCGATATCTCTGGGTATGGATATGGTTAGAGATATTGTATATGTTTCTTCATATGGTACCCACCCGAAATTTAGATAGGTAGTTATTCGATAGCCACTATCCGCTACCGATCAGACCCGTCAATCGTAGGCTTCAAGGACGATGAAACACAAGTCAAATGACAAAGAGAATGAGTATAAAGGTGTACAATTTGGCTCGAATCTAGTTGTCTTTGTCGTGTGCGCCGAGGTGACATCCTCGTCACCGTCTTGTCAATGTAACTAAAGGATTTTCTAATGGTGTTAAAGTTTGAAACAAAAATGGCTTATATTTGTCAAACTAGCATTCGTAATATGAAGATTTTGCGTATTTCTCAGAAATTGGTTGTTATTGTCACAAAGTCGACGGTTGTTTCTATGCAAGTGTATTTTGCTTTAATACAATCGGCAAGTTTGGAGTCGAATATCGACTACTTGATACCTGCCCTAAAGTTGTGACTATGCAAATGTATTTTGTGTTGTATTAAAGTCTTTGATCGAGTCTATTAGTATATTGGAGGCAAACCTAATTTTGTCATTTGCTCTCAAGTTTTGATGGTCTCCTTTTAGCTGAGTTGTTAGTATATAGTTGACATGAATCAACAACTCTAAATTTCTTTTTGATTAGTGGCATACTACCCCTAAAAGGAGATCATTGAATCCTTTAAGTAGGATTTTGAGGTTTAAGATTTAGTTTCAAACTATATATGGGTCGTGTGGCAATTCCAATGAGCTTTGATACTCTATCTTTCTTGGCAATCAACCAACCAATAATATTTTAATGAGAGCTTAATTATCATTATTAGGGCTGGGAAACAGTGCGGTCTGGTTTAGAACGAACCATATATACAGTTTACGGTCTAGACCAAGAGGTTGGAGTATAGACCACAAACCAAACCACTGATTATACGATCCAGACCACGCCTATGAGGTCTGGTCCGGTACGATCTGGGCCAGATAGACCATACTTAACCAATAATTAACAATTTGATTAGTCAATCACAAAAAAAAAAATTGAAGCAATGGCTAAGAAATAATGTTTGTTTTTCCTTCAAACATATATTCCAATATGCATGAATAATTTTGACACCATAAATCTAAGTAAATAATAAAGATACAAAGTCAAAGCATCCCAACTTGTACCATAACGGCATAAACATTTACATAATGTCATATAGAGACACGATCGTCTCTACTCTTTGGTGAAATATGGTTGTGAATGAAGGAGGGGGACGAGATTCTCAAAATTAAGTTTGAGAATTGAGTATCCTTCTGGGAGTTGGGAGAGTGGTCGAGTGAGCTGCTAACACGTATTGAGAAGTCGGCAGGGTCCACGATTTGGTCCGGTAAACTGCGGTCTAGACCAGACCAAGAAATCAAAATATCATATGATACAGACCATGGACTAGACCATACCATACCATACTTAACGGTCTACACAAACTGTGCGGTCCGGTCTGGATCATAGTTTTTCAAACGATCTGGTCTATTTTCCCAGCCCTAATCATTATGAAAATGGGATCAATGATATATTTTTATATTTTATATTCATAAATGATGACGATATTTTTTTGAATGTTCGACCTATATATTTTTTTATATGTATCATCTCGATCAAAGAATCATTAATAAAATTAAACGGATTAATAGACTTAAACGTTAAATAAAATATAAATAACTAAATATGAACATTCCGGCCAACCAACGTATTAGAAGTTAAGTTAGAAAATAAGTTGCTATACTAAAACAAACAAGTCACACGCGAATGTGAGAAATACAGAAGAGAAATAAATCAATAATGGAAAGTCGGCTAAATTACACGTTTGGTCACTCAAATTATACAAATCTTTCACGTTTGCCACCCGAATTACTTTTCTTTCTTATTTGCCACTAACTTTACAAATCGTTTCACGGTTGGTCACCGACCGTTACACTCCGTTAAGTTTGTCCTACGTGACAGTCAACTATAAAGTTTGACCGTTAACTAGATGACGTGGAAATTAAAATAAAATTAAAAAAATAAAATACAATTTTCTTTCCACCTCAGCGAATAGCCTACTTCCACGTCATCCTCCACCTCCCCCGTCTCGTCAGCTACGTGGTAGTTAATAGTCCTCCCCTCCAACTTCGGCGGCGACCCAACATTCGAGTCCGTCGACTGCATCAACCAAAAAGAACAGGAAAAAATAATTTCCCAATCAGAGATTCAGAATCGTATTCTGGCCAGCATAAAGAGTAAAAAGACTCAAACTTTGGCTTCCAAATCGAACCAATCGGACCAAAACCCATACCTCTTGTCTCCAGAAATTAGTGGGTTTAGCGGAGAAAGAGGAAGGCGAGCTGGGTTCCTCGAAATTGAGCGAATCCGCGTGAGGGAGCTGCTGCTGAGAAGTAGGGGATTTGGCGGCGGCAGGGGACTGGACTTGAATCTCGGCGACGTCCATGTCCCATAGAACCCAATCCTGGGTCGCGGTCCGATGCGGGATGTCGTGGGTCACAGAGTTTGCGGGAGGCCGCCGTTAGCTCGCAAGAAGTTCCCGTACCGGGTCCGGAGCTTGATCTGGGTCCCCTCCCGAACCGGCTCCCACTCCACCGACGAGTCGAGGCGGCGGGGCAGGGTCTGGAGCACCTTCCGGCCGGTCATGCCGAGGAGGAAAGGGTGGTTGGAGGCGGTGAGGTACTTGCCGTAGGAGGATTTGAGGCGGATGATGGAGTCGGATCCGGGTACGGGCTCGACCCACCACTTGGCCGACTTGGACGACCCGTTTCGGTCCTGGAGGACGGATTCCTCGTCGTCGTCGGCGAGGAGGTACTTGTCGTGGTGGCTGCGGAGGCGGACGGCTTTGGCCTTGTGGAAGAACTCCATGGCGGAGCGGAATTGGTTGAAGCTGCCGGTCTGAGAAGGAGAAGAAAAAAATAGAGATTGAAAGACTGAAGAAGACGCAGAGAGGAGTCAAATTGAATAGAGAAGATCGGAACTTTTTTATATGATTGGAATTGGGATTACTTCTTTTTCTCTTTATTTTTTTTATATGATTGGAATTGGGAAATCCATTGGAATGATGAGGTGGAAAGAAAATTTTATTATTTTTTTAATTTTTTTTAATTTCCACGTCATCTAGTTAACGGTCAAACTTTATAGTTGACTGTCATATAGGACAAACTTAACGGAGTGTAACGGCCGGTGACCAACCGTGAAACGATTCGTAAAGTTAGTGGCAAATAAGAAATAAAAGTAATTCGGGTGGCAAACGTGAAAGCTTTGTATAATTTGAGTGACCAAACGTGTAATTTAGCCTGGAAAGTCAAATAAAAAGGAAAACATATATATTGTTATAAAATAAAAAGGAAAACTTAAAACCCTACTCTTTATAAATTCTAGGGTTTTTCGTTGCTTCTCTCCTCCCCGAGTCCCGACGCTTCCTTCCTCTTCAGTCTTCAGTACCAACTTCTCTTCTCACTCTGCAACCATGGCCGTTGTTGCTTCATCCGCCGGTCGTATCCTTTTTCTCCCGATGCTTAGACTTCTAGTAGAGTTTAGCATCCCATGTCTTCAATCGATCGTTTTCCTTCTACCCATTTGCAAGAATGCAATTGCTTTATGTGAATTTATCTTCTGCCCAAATGGTTTCGTAAGGGGTGGATTTGAGGGTTTCGATGTGCGAAACTGGTTGCTTTCTTCATTTTATTTAACCTGACGAGGAGGCTTAGAACTGATAGTTGCAGTTAGTGGGAATGAAATAGCTTGCTGATATTGTCCCAAATGAGAGTTGATAGGCAGTGCGAGCATTGTCTATTCTTTGTTTTGTTCTTGGATGTGGGTTAAAATGTTGGGAGTTAAGGGCCACTGCTTAAGTCTGGTTCTGCTGTTCAATACGACTTTTAAGGGTTAGCTTCATTTGTCAACAGGGGTGTCTTTGGAAATGGATGGTATTTGAACTATTTTGTTTGAGTTCTTAGTTTCTTTGTTGGTTGTATTCCTTTACTCGTCTGGCTACAGAAACTGCAGATTTACTTGAGAACCTGTCATTGGAATCTCAGACCAAGATAACTGATATTTCAGATCATGTAAAGAAAGTATGTGAGCATCTCTGTTTTGGTTTAGTTCACCGTTCTTTTCATTCTTGTGTTATTGATCAGTTGGTAAATCAATTGGTACAGTCTACTGATGGTTATGGAGCAAGTGACTTGACTAGTAATCCAGCTAAGCAATTGCCTCGCTCAGCAAGCCCTTTTCATGTCAACCCAAGTCCTTATTATTTCCCCACTCCTTACTATTATGGAGGTAAGCTAGAACCAAGAGGAATCACTGTTCCTTCGAAAGTCACTGAAACTTACAGGTTTGACTTGGTTACTATGTTAATTGTTCTTCCTTCTTCAGGTTATGATGGGCATGGCAACGATTGGAGCGACTATAGTAGATCTGTAACTCCTGATGGAGTTGAGATGCAACAGGTTAGTTCTGTGTCTGCTCTTTATCAAGTTATAACCTCCTGTTACTATGATTGTTTAGAAGTGATACTGAAAGTTGGCAGTTTGTAATCAATGATTTCCTTATTGGCAGGGTATGTTTCATGACAATGATGCTGCTATGTTCTCCCAAGGTTATGGTTATCCACCTTTTGGATCATATATGCCAGCACCGGATAGCCATCTGCAGGGGACGCAGCAGTACCCTGCTTCAGATAATATCCTTCACTCGTCCAGCCATGTTGGTTCTCTTCCAAAGGAGATTCAAGCTCAAGCCACGGGCGACAATATACCTTTAGGTGTTGGAACTGCAGCTGGGGGTAATGCTGGAGGTCTGAGTAAAAATAATGGAAAACCTTTCAAACCAAGTACCCAAAATTCGTTTTCGAAAACAGGTGTTTCTTATAAAAATGGAGGTGGCCGAACATCTTATCCTCCATCAAGTTATCAGGATCTGTGGCCTGGTTATGGTGGATTTCAATCATTCCCCTGGTTGGATGCTCCTATGCTTTCTAATGGGTCATCAAAACATGGAAGTGGTGGTTTCTCTTCGGGACTGGTATGTGGATCCTTGCTGTAACTGTTTTTCTTATGGTCTTTTCAGTATCCATGTAAAAAAACGTTTCCTTTACAGTCATGGCTTGGTTCACCTATAATTGATTAGTCCCATGATGATAAAACTTATAGGAAATACTGCTGCAAGAATGTGTCTAACTTGCCATCCCTTCTGGTTTTCTAATGCTATAGTTTTGTTCTCCTATTAAATTGTGCATAATATCTTGGAAAATGAAAAATAATGACATTTAGTGTTGCCCTTTTGTAGATTTTGTACTTAGATTCTATACAAACACGGTATATTTATGTTAGTCTGATGGTAATTTCAGAATTCACAGTCAACAAGACCTACTTCTGCCTTTGGCAAAGGTGCTGGATACATGATGTACCCACCTAATGGAATGTATACTCCCTATGGAAATGGAGCTGCTGCTGGTTTTGGTTCCTTTGGCTATAACTCTTGGACAAATGGGCATGGGTGGATGGTTGTCGATAACAAGTACAAATCAAAGAGTCGTGGCTATGGCAATGAGAATATAGATGGGTTAAGTGAGTTGAATAGGGGACCTAGGGCCAAGAGTTTTAAGAACAACAAGGAGATTGGCGCTGGTGCAGAATCTGCTGTAGAAGGGCAAAGCGTTCCATCAACAGAGACTAACAAAGAGGAGAAGTTTGAACAGTATAACAGGGAAGATTTCAAGGAGGAATACGCAGAAGCCAAATTCTTCGTCATCAAATCATATAGTGAAGATGATGTACATAAAAGTATCAAGTATGGTGTTTGGACGAGCACACTTAATGGTAATAAGAAGCTGGATGCAGCCTACCAGGAAGCCCAAGCTAATCCTGGCGGTTGTCCTGTGTTTTTGTTGTTCTCAGTGAGTATTCTTAGACTGTTACCTGGTTTTGTTTTCTTTTTATACAAATGGATTGATCACTTGGTTGATGCGGAAGGTTACAGTGTTTTCGCTTCCTTCCTATTAATGGCCTTTTGATTGTTTCTTTTAGGTAAACACTAGCGGACAATTTGTTGGCTTGGCAGAGATGGTTGGTCGTGTTGATTTTGACCAAACTGTGGAGCATTGGCAGCAAGAGAAATGGAAGGGATGCTTCCCGGTTAAGTGGCATATTGTTAAGGACATACCAAACAGTTCTTTGAGACACATCACACTTGAAAACAATGAAAACAAACCTGTGACAAACAGTCGGGACACTCAGGAGGTCCGTGGTGCTGAAAATTTTCTTGGTAACTCAAATATTCAACTGTTTTTCCATTGCATGTCCTTATAATCACATTTTTTCATTGCAGGTCGACACTGAGAAGGGTGTTCAGATTCTAAAAATTTTCAAGAGTTGTGTGATCAAGACATCCATCTTGGATGATTTTGGGTTTTATGCAGCCCGTGAGAGGGTAATGCAAGAGAGAAGGGCCAGGCAGAGGACTCAAAGGCAGGTAAGAAATTGAGCTTACGCCTTCTCTTGATTGCGTTCTTCAATGCAGGATCCCGTCTTTGTTTGTCCCACGAGCAGAGCTTGCGTCAATAACTTCATTTTTTCGTGAACATAGGTTTCTGAAGGCAAGTCCGGCGATAATGTGACCCCTCATGTAGGTGCTGTGAAGCATCTGGAAAAGGATGGATCGAATGGAGTAGTTGAAGTCGCTGGCCTGAACGTGAAGTCTATTGTCTCGTCCGAGACCAAAGCTACAACTGCAAATGACTGCTAATTTTTGGGTAGCTTTTAGGAGTTTAGAGTCTAGGGATCAAGGGGTGATTGAATTTCTGGACTTCTGATAATGAATTCTAATTAGCTGTGTCTGCAGCACAAAAACAGTGATCAAACAGATGGTTAGGACATTATTTTTGTTTTCTTGTAGCATTGAGAAACATTGCTCTCATGTCTGCGCTGAAAGACTTTGGATGAAGAGGAAAGAGGAAGCTTGTTTCTAACAAAGACAATGATAAGAATGCTCAAGTTTTCTTTTATTTTCTCTGTTCAGTACTGTTCTTTGTGTGCTCAACTTTTAAATAGAATTCAAAGGCATCCGTCACCCTTATTCATTCCAAGGTGTTTAATGACCAGACATGCAACAAAGGTTCCACTTCAGTAGCATCAAATGAACCTTCGTGGTGTGTTGCGGCGAAATTCGTTAGTAGAGAATTCCAGGTGTACCCATTGCCCCCCAAGGCACTTCGCTTCCCGCTGCTAAGAGTTCTGGTTCTGTTGGCGCAGAGTTACTCTAAGCCTCTACTGCACTCATTAGCTTTTGTAGTGTGGTTGAATACCAGTGCTCATAAGGTAAGATTTTACAGCCTTTGAATCATTACTCTCGTGATCCACTAAATCAACCAAGTAACAAATTCGAGGTCTCAGAAATATAATACAGCAGTATTGATCAGGTACAAGTAGGAATCATTTGATGGAGTACACACAAAATCACCAAGGGAATCATATGCTCAAAGAAGATAAAAACAGCATTAGTGTTCATGACTTGCAAAACGCATGGAGTGTATCATCGAGAGCTTTCCTGTCATAATCCGCTGTGAACACACAGTTTCCTAGAGGACCTTTCAGGAGGATAAGCCTTAGCACCCCATCAGCAACTTTCTTATCAACCTGCATGTGGTAAGAAACATGAATATGTCAGGGGGGAGGAGGATCGAAGAATTTGGTTACTAAAGCAAAGGGGTGATGATAACTACCGCCATGATGGATCGGAACATTTCCATAGTAATGCTCTCCGGTGGAGCAACAGGAAGCCTAGCCAGCTCTAGAATTTTCCGAACCCGCTTCACGAGCGAATCATCAATCCAACCAAGTCGGTAAGACATGTCAGCAGCCATAACCATGCCAGCTGCCACAGCTTCTCCATGGAACCACTGCCCATATCCGAATCCGGTTTCTATTGCCTGAAACATGCATCAGACAAGCAGAGACTAAACTAGTAAGGTGGGGTTCCAGAGAATGCATCAAACAAGTAGAGACTTAATCAGTCAAGATATTCAAGCACTCACATGACCGAAAGTGTGACCTAAGTTCAAAGTAGCGCGCAGTCCACTTTCTCTTTCATCCAAGGACACGATCTTGGCCTTGTTTTCACATGATCGCTTGATGGCATAAGCTAAAGCACTTGGATCTCTACAGTGGCAAATGGGGTTGGCAGACCAACTCGCAAATCAGATTATGATCCAAACACTTGAGTATAATGCAAATTGTTGATCAAATTGGGGTCTAGGCTATAGAAGCTGATCATAGCTAAACTAAGCTCAAATACAAGGACACCCTTCTTCTATAATAAGGAGTTAAGAGCCTGTCTCTTGGATCCTAACCAAATATATTTTGGGAAGTGATGGAGACTACCTTGCCAATAGTGCAGCCATATTCTTCTCTTGCCACTCAAAAAATTCGGCATCACGAATCAAACCATACTTTACAACCTCACTGATCCCTGATGCAAGTTCCCTATCTGGCAATGTGTTGAGCGTGTCGGTGTCTATCAGAACAGACTGAGGCTGGTAAAACGCACCAATCATGTTCTTCCCAAGCGGGTGGTTTATGCCAGTTTTGCCTCCGACAGAAGAATCCACCTGAAAAAAGGCAAAAACATTCAGGGCAAACCCCACAGAAGAAACACCCATGACACAAAACGGTTTAAACACAAGAGAGAAACCTGTGACATAAGAGTTGTGGGGATCTGGATGAAATTAACTCCTCGCAAGTACGACGCAGCAGCGTATCCACACATGTCGCCAATGACTCCTCCTCCCAAAGCAACAAATGTAGACTTCCTATCCAGCCGTGACTCGATGGCCTTGTCGAATACTTTCATGAGAACATCCTGTCAGCAGAAAACAAGCCATATTCAGCTAAATAACCTCTATAACTATAGCATCACCTCAACCTACGAATTGAAATCCACTTGGTGGCGAACGTACCATGTTCTTGTGCTTCTCACCATCAGGCAAAATCACACTCTCTACTGTCACATTAGGGCTCCCTTGTGTCAATGCTTCAACCACTCTATCCAGGTAGAGGGGAGCTACTGTCTCGTTAGTCACCACAAGGACCCTCTTCCCATGGACATGCCTAAAAATTCAAACAAAGCTCATTCGTTCATCAACCAAATCCTAGAAACCGATGCTCCATTATATTTCTCAGGCTTGATAATCCAGACAAATCGATAATCGGCAAGCAGATAGAAAACAAACCGAACGAGTGATAAATCAAAACAAAAACCCGATAGGGGGGAAACGAAATGAAATGCAATTTCACACCTTTGAAGAAGGTCGGGTTGGTTCAGGAGGCCTGATCCGATGTAAATCGGGTAACTCCGGTTCCCCAACTCGACTTCCACAACTGTAGGCGCTCCAGCGGAACCAGAGTCACTGACCGGAGATTGATCCATAACCGGAGCAGCAGTAGCGCGAATTATGCAGCTCGTACGGCGAGTCGCCAAAGAAGCTCCCGCCGCCGGTCTCAAACGCAGAGACACGCGACCGTTAGGCTTTCGGAAGCTGCGACAGGCAGAATCCGGCGAGAAAGAGTAATTGTCCCGGCGGGTTGAAGAAGAAGAAGAAGAAGAGGAGGTGGCGTCAGTGGAGAGAGAGAGGGAGATGGCATTGGCCGTGGAAGCCATGGTCGATGATGGAGTTGCGGTTGGTGGAGTAGCATTTCTGTGAGGTTGTCGCTGGAGAAGAAAGAAAAGCAAGAGAAGAATTTGGGGAGGGTAGGTGAACGCAGCCGCTGAAGTCGTTACGCCGTCAGATCTGTAATAGACTGATGAGGGAAGATCTAACGGCTGATAAGCTTCAGGGGCAATTAAGCTAATCATAAAAGTAGAAGTAGTATATTAGCATTTTCAGTGTGAAATAAAAATAAAAAATAAAAAGGGGGAAAAGAATAGAAATGGAGAAAGATATCCTCCGGTAACGGAAGTGGATCCGTGGAGGGTTTTGTGAGCAAGGAGTATTTTTGTGTCTCTTAAACCTCTCCTCTCTCTCTCTCACCCTTCGCCCTCTCTATAACCCTTTTCAGTTTTGTGGCGGCTAGTCTATCTCCTCCAGTTTCTTCTTCTGCCGCCTCGCCTCTAAAACCCTATACCCTTCTTCTTTTTTCCCTCCTTATTTCTAGGGTTTATCTCCTTTTCCCTCATTTCTTTCACTCTCTCTCTCTTCGTTCAATCTGTGTCGGTCATGGCGGGCGTTTCTTCTGCTGATCGTATCCTTTCGGAATTCCCTGAACTGGGTATTTTTTGCCCTTTTCGTTTTTTTGGGTCTGATTTTTCAGCTTTCTTGGTTGCCGTCGCCGCCCCCGTAAATCTGAATACTTGTCTCTGTTTGTGTTCGTGTTGCATCTGAAATTCGTCCATTTCAGTTTGTTAATCTGCTGAAGCAGTACTCAAGATTTGGTTATATTGTTCTGTGACTGGCCAGTGGCCTCGGGTGGTGTTATTGGGTTTTGCAAGGGTTTTCGATTTGATTATGTGGGTGGGCTCTGGTTTTCTATTTCTGCATCTTCTTGTTGAATTTCTTATGGATGAATATGATTTGCTTGTATATAGTCGTGGTGGTTAGTTTGAATTTGATTCTGAGCCTTTGTTGTTACTTGTGAGTAGTGCTACGGTTGCAGATGATATCAGTTTCGTGATAGCCCAACTTATGTCAAGAGAAGCTGTCTTTCATATCAATATTTTTGATTGGTTCATTTGTTAATTACAGATTTTCTTTCGGTTATGTGATCAATTCATGTGTATTGTTTGAGGTTAAAGTTTGTGGGCTGTGTATATTGTTGTATCCTTATACTCCTACTCCCACAGAAACTGCAGGTTTGTTGGAAAACCTGTCACTAGACCCTCAGGCCAAGACAACTGATGTTTTGGATCCTGCAAAGAAGGTAAGTTGAGTAACAAGCTTGGGATTAGTCAATTTTACCAGCTTCAGTTCTTTGTACCCATTTCGTTTGGTTTTCCTAATCATATGATAAATTGGTTGGTATAGCTGTCAACTAGTCAATATGGACCAAATGACTTGGCTAATAATCAAGCCATGGCATTAACTCGCTCCACAACCCCTCTTGTAGACCCAAATGCGTTCTATTATCCTAATGGATACCCATCATCTGCGTACTATTACGGAGGTAAGCTCCACATCAAGGGCTTTGCTGTCCGAGATCCTTTTTAAAGTAGGCATGAACCTGAAATTCTTAAGTTAGTTTCAAATCGATCAGCAATATGTGTTTTTCTTGGTCAGTAACTCTGTGCTGCAAAATCTTCATCCTTCTTCAGGTTATGATTGGAACGACTACAGTAGATATGTAAATCCGGATGGGGTTGAGATATCTCATGTCAGTTATACTTCTTTTCTCAAATTTCTTATTCATACTTAGATTTGTTAATATCACTGAATTAAACACCATCCTGTATGTAATAAGGTCCACTTGTCCTTCCAATGTGCTCTTTTTTTCCCCCTGCTTTATGTCGTACGTAGAGCATTGACCACTTGTTGTGTATTGGCAGGCTGGGTTAGGAGATAGTGATACGCCTTTTTATCCCCAAGGTTATCCCTATGGAACATATTCTTCATCAAATGCTTCTGCTGGTCCAACCCATGATAGCCAGTTGTATGGGACCCAGCAATACCAGTATCCAAGTCCTTTTTATCAGCTTCCTAGTTCAAATGGTGCACTTAGCCAAGTTAGCCCCTCACCTGGGGAGGTCTCAACTGCAGCTGTGACCGACAAAGTACCTCTGCCAGTTGCTGGGACAAACTCTGGGAATATGGGCAGTCTGAATAAAAATAACGGATTGAAGTCTACTACTTCCAGACCAAGTAATCAGAATTCGTATTCAAACTCCAATGGTTCCTTCAAAAGGGGAAATTTAGGGACAACATACCCGACTTCAAGTTATCAGGATCCAAGATTTTCCTATGAGGCATTTCAACAAACATTCCCTTGGGTTGATCCCTCTATGTTCACGGGGAGTCAATCTGGACATATTTCAGGAGGCAGTTTTTCCTCTTCAATGGTATGTGCATACACGGGATCCTTTCTTGTTTAGCAATGAAGTCCACTTCTTCTACTGCTTCAGCTACCAAGATTGTAATTGTATTTGTTTGATGTTGTTACAGAATTCACATTCAACAAGGCCAGTACCAGGTTTTGGGCAAGGCTCTAGTTATATGATGTATCCAAACAACAGAATGTACGAAAATTATGGAAACCGGGGCACTGGATATGCATTTGGTTATAACAATATGAGCAATGGGCGTGGTTGGATGGCTGCTGACAGGTACAAGTCAAAAGGCCGTGCCTATGGCAATGAAAATATGGATGGTTCAGGCGAGCTGAACAAAGGCCCCCGGGCCAAGAGTTTTAGGAATCAAAAGGACTTTGGTGTTGACTCTGCTCTAGAGGGGCAGACCAATCCTACGACAGGGAACAACAAGGAGGAGAATCTGAGTGAAATTTTAGACAAGGAACAGTATAACAGGGAGGATTTCCCAGAAGAGTACACGGATGCTAAGTTCTTTGTAATTAAATCATACAGTGAAGATGATGTCCATAAGAGCATCAAATATGGTGTTTGGACTAGCACTCTGAATGGTAATAAGAAACTTGATGCAGCTTACAAAGAGGCCAGTGCGAAGGGCTGCCACTGCCCTGTATTCTTATTGTTTTCGGTTAGTGCCTTCCAGATATTCAGTTAATCAAGCTGGTCTCTTCCTGTGAGTTCCTCTTCTCAACAAAAAAATCTGTTGCATGCAGGTGAATACAAGTGGTCAATTTGTTGGTTTGGCCGAAATGGTTGGCCCGGTCGACTTTGAGAAAACTGTGGAGTATTGGCAACAGGACAAGTGGGTTGGTTGCTTCCCTGTCAAGTGGCATATCATCAAGGATGTGCCAAATAGTACCTTGAGGCACATTACACTTGAGAATAATGAGAACAAGCCTGTAACAAATAGTAGGGATACTCAAGAGGTAGAAGCATCTTCTTCTGGTTTTTTTCCCATTTCTTTGCGTGCTTTTCCTTTTCTCCTATTGGTTCTCACTAATCTTATCACTTAACTGCTGGATGGTGTAGGTTGTCCTTGAGAAGGGCATTGAGGTTCTCAAAATCTTCAAGTCCTGTAAATCCAAGACTTCCATTCTGAACGATTTTGGATTCTATGCAACCCGTGAAAGGATAATGCAGGAGAAGAGGGCCAAACAGAAGTTGCAGAAGCTGGTAACAAACATAGCTTCTTGTGATACTCATCTCGCTCTGATTGCTGTTTGCATAAGTAATAACTTGTTCTGAACTGTCTGTTTTCTTGCTTTTCAAAACCAGGTCTTGGAAAGTGCAACAAATGTGAAAGATGGCTTGCAAAAGCCTGCAAGTGGTACTTTGGCCAAAGGCCCGATTAAAGTAGGAGAAATCGAGTTGAAGACCAATGGGGAACCTGGGGTTCCTGAACAAAAGGGAGCAACCGGTGAAATGGCATCAAAGGATGGCGAAACTGTTGTTGAATCATCAGAAAACAAAGTTGCTGCAAACGGAGTTGCAAGCGCCTGCTAAAAGTTTTGGTCTTTCCTGCGTTTAGGGTTTTGTTCTGGGATCTAGAGAGTTGGTAACTGTGTTAGTGTAGTTTTGTGGAGGGTGTGAGGGTTTTCATGTCGATTGACGTTTGTGGGAGTGTGCTTGGTCAGACTATCATCAATATACAGAAAGTTAGGTTTTGGTTTTGGTTTTTTTGTTTCCGATTTTAGTGTCGATTCCAGTTTCAGTTCTTTAGCGGTAAGACAAATGTGTTTACCTTTATGTGTCAGGAAGGAATGGTTCTTTTTTTTTTCTTCTTTTCCAGTCATTTCTTCAACTTCTGGGGTGTGCTATCTATGCTGCGGTATGTTTTGTTGTGTGAAGGAGCAAAATCCAAAGATTAGTAGGAGATTATCATTCTCTTTATTATGCATTTCAACAAATTGTGGAAAGGTTGGAGTAAGAAGGAAAATAGGCAATTTTTGGATTGGCCGAGAGGAACGAAGTCATCATGGGGACGTTGAGGAAGAGGGAGATGGGGATGTTGGCAGAGATGGTTGGCAAAGGGTTTTCCTCTACCCCTGTTGAAATTAATCAACTGCTCCAAGCACTTTGTGAAGGTAAGATGGATGTTGCTAAAAAGTAAAAAGTTTATAGAAAACTACTTTTCGGGATTTATCATAATTACTATTTTTAGATATTATTAGACATTGTTAGTAGTTCTTGAGTCATATTAGGATAGTCTATTAGAGTTTTCCAGTCTTTAGTTATAAATATGTAATGTGGGTCTTTTGTTCGATGAAGCAGAAACCAGTAAAAGCAGTGGCGGAGCCACTTGGAGAGGAGGGGGTGCTCCCCTTGGGTTTGGAGAATTTTTTTTCGAGTAGGGGTATATACAAATTCGAACCAATGACCATTCAGTTGCAGGAAGAATTTCTTATCATTTCGATCGAGTGAGTTTTGTTATGTAATGCACTTTAGTCTTTATTTATAGTAATAAATTGTTGTCTTTTGTTTAAACTCGCTCTTTTTTTTTTTGTAGCTCTACAACAGAGAAATTTCTTGTCTTTTGTTTAAACAAAGTTGAAAGTGAAGAAGTATCAATTGAAGTTCACTTGTTTGTTTCACAAAATCAATTCCAAGGTACTTCTCAGTTCTAATTTGTAATATTTGATGAATGGAAGTCTTGATTTGTATGTACTGAACTTATTTGTTTGACGTTGTAACCGGTGTACGTGAAACTATTTTAATGTAATTGTGTGAATTTAGAGTATTGCGTTGTTGACTTTTTGTTTAATTTAAAGTTGACTTTTCTATTGTATAGGTGATTTTTTATGATATGATAAAGGCACCCCCTTGGCCAATTTCCTGGCTCCGCCACTGAGTAAAAGATTGTGAATGAAAGTGAAATAGGTTAGAGATCATCAACCATTAATCTGGCTAGTGGCTAGGGGAAATCATACCTAAGTGAGTTCCCAACCTGTAATTAGTAGTCTAACCTAGAGTAGCTTGTAGAAGTAGTTTAGTTAATCAAACCTTAATCTGATTAGCTAGATAACAAGTCAAAGCTGAATAATAGTAAATTTAGAGACCTCATGAATTCGATATTTATTACTTGCACCACTATACTGCAGACCCTTTCATTGGTTACACTTGACCACTGTTAGGAGTTGTGTAGTAGCGAGTCAATAACTCAACTTCCTAGCCCTCCAGGATTTAATTTTCTAACTTATTTTATCCACTAGTCTTGCACTATCAGCAAAGGAAAGCTTCGGTGAAATCAATGGTAAACCTAGAACATGAAGAGATCCTTCATGAAAACCAGACAAAGTCAATGTATTCTACTTAAATCCCACTAATTTTTGCCCAAATACACTTTGCAATTCCGGTGATTACATTTTAGCCTTGACAATCTATAAAACTTTGTGATTGTTTGAGTTGATCCCTCTGTAATTACGAGGAGATCCTCAGGGAAGGTGAAGTGTGTTAGAGACACTTTCTTGCATTACGATTTACGAGTGATAGGGAATCAATCCACCAATGGCAACATCATTCAGTAACATAGAAAATCCTTCCTTGGCAATAGTACATAGTCTAACTCCCTTTTTGTGCCCCAAAATAGCAACATAGTCCACCATTCACACATATACAACATTTTGCAGTTTTGACACATAGTGTAATCCATTTAACAAACTGGACAGGAAATCCCATAATATCTGTCGCAACCGTCCCGTCCGGGGGGGTCCGTACGTCGTCGCGTCGGCATTTTTGGGAGTCGCCATCGATCTTACTTGGAGTGGATCGAACACTCTTCGGTCGGCTCTAACCTTAGTGTCAGAACCGAGGCATGGTCTGCGAAAATAAAGTTCTGGGTTCGGGAGTACGGTTACGTGTGGGGAAGTTAAGCAACACCCCCACAACGCCCTAAATCGGTACTACTTAAGTCGATAAGTTTTTATGTAAGTTGGGTGTATTTTAGTAATAATTTTGTAATTTTAGGGTCCCACTGGACTATTTAAGAAATTAAATCGTATTAATTGTAATTTAATTACACGCCCACTGACGTAAAAATTTAAAGATAAAGTTAGTTGATTAGTTGGACTCGAACCTTATCGGTTGCCTACGTACCCGTTAGACGGGATCAAAGTCCACGTAGTTCGTTTGTACTTTGATAATTTTAAATAATATTATTACCACGTTCCGCTGATCGTGGTTTTCGCATCCAAATTTATGGTTAATAAAATTTAAGTTGATATTATGAAATTATGAAAATATAATATGAGGATTTCAGTTATTAAAAGGAGATTTGATGTATTAGAAAAGAAATGAGATGAACTTAATCCGCAATTCTACATTTCGTATTAAGGACTTCTAAACAAATTAAACTAAGTGAGATGGTTAAACTAACGCATGATGGGCTAGCAGCCCAACTGGCCTAGTTGCTAACCCTGCAGTTGATTCCGCGTGAGCAGGGTTCGAAACCCATCCAACCCCTTTTGCTCCGTCGTTTTTAATTCAGAGACGGGGGAAGGGCATTTTGGTGATTTCACGGAAACGAGGTGGCAAGGATAGGTAGTAATTAGAAAACCCTAGGGGCATTTTAGTCTTTACAATCGATGAGGTATATAAATCTCTAACGAAAACCCTAGAAAGTCGGCCGCCTCACTCTCCCTCTCGCCTCTCTCCCTCTCGTTCTCATCTTCTCCAGAGAAAACCAAACATGAACCCTAGCCGCCGCTCTCACCCTCTCTCCCTCGATCTCGATCCTTATCCACTTCTCCACCTCTCGTCTCTCTTCCAGAGAGCGAACCAAAACCCTAGCGCCACCCTCATCTTCTTCTCCCTCGTCTCTCGCCTCCCTATCTCCCGCTAATCCCTACCTCGAAACGAAAACCCTAATCACTTAACCATCCGAACAACGCCGCCATCTACATCTTCTCCTTCTCGCGTTCTTCATGTAAATCGAGAAAAGGAGATGAGCCTTCTTCATATTTAATCTATCTCCCCTTCTCCTTATTCTGGAAACGAGTGGTGACGGGGAAAAGAGGCGGCGGCGGCGGCGACGACTGAGGACGAGCGCTGCCAACGCCAGCAGTGACGATGACGACTAGGGTTTTCTAAAGGTTAGGTTTTTTTTGGCTTGCATGTAAGATTTTTACCATTTTTCGATTTCGATTTTAAGATTTTCTATGTTCTAAACCTATTTCTTGTTTTTCTTTCGGAGATCGATCCAAAACCGAGGAGGGGGCCTCGATTTGCATTCTAATAATCTCGATCTATCGCTTCTAGTTGGAACAGAGGTGACGAGGAGGAGGTTTTACCCTCTGGTAAGCCCCCTTTTACAATGCATGTCCATTTTTATTCGATTTAACGAATAATATTGGGATTTTGACTTGTTTGGCTTTCCTTTGTTTTATTTTTTGTTTCGGATCCCTGCCGAAGGAAGGGAAGGCGGCGGTCGCCGGCGGCGCGGCCAGCGCCAGAACCGACGGCGAGGGTTTTGTTTGGGGGTAAGTTATTTGTTTTATTTTTTATTCTCGTTTTTTACCTATTATCATTTTTGGGGTTCTAACTCTCGATTTCCTAATTTTTTGCAGATCTTATTCAATTTGAAAGAAACTAGGTGATACCTCTTCTAAGCCTAAAATGGGTGGTTTAATTATCGTTATGATTGTTTATAGAACTTTCTGGTATTGTGAAAATGAATTTTGTTAGACCTCCTAGGTTTGTTTAGCCTTAATGTTTGGTTTTGGATATGGTGGAGAATTTGCTTTATTAAAATTTGAAAATCTATAATGGTCCTAAAGGTAATACGACAATCATAGCTACTGCTTATGACTGTCAATTGGTTAAACAATTTGATTAAAAGGCTAATACCGATTAGTAACAAATGGAATTTTTAATGGAAGTGTCTTATTGTATTTAGCATACAAAATAATAATCAAATGAGAACTTCGTGATTATCAAATCTGGTAATTGGCTAAAGAAAAGGGGTACCCTTAAACACAAAATGAGGTATTTTAAAATACTCTCTCAAAGGTCTGATTTGAATTTTTTTATGTTTTGAATGGATTGCTTGATTATTGCTATGTTGAAAGAGTAAATGAACTAGCCTGGCTGATAATAGTGCTAGGTTTAGCTAACAGCTTAACAAGAATTATGCTTGCTAGAAAAACTGAGAGCAACTCAAACTGATTCATTGTATTTAGGTGATAAAAAGTAAATTGTCATATAACGAAAGAAATGAATGGCATAAAGAGGCATACATGTCACGAAGATCAGAATTTCGTAATATCCACTTCGCATACAAATTTAGGCAGCCTAACTATGGATTATGAATTTAGAAGCATCATCATTTACAAACATGCTATATGAATTTTCCTACATGGATGTATGGATGACTACACGCTTGTATGATTGATGGGGTGTAGAAAAAAAAACCGACCTGTGTTTGCGATTTGGTGGAGTTTTGATGGTGATAGCTTGTTGCTGTTTCTGACTCCCTGCCCTTTTTGGATCCTTAGTGCTTCTGTCTTTTTGGTGCTTAGTGCTCTTTAATGCTCTTTGTCTCCCTTTTTGTGTGTTTTTGTTGTTGGTCCTTCCTCTCCTGTTTGGGGTAAGAAAACCCCCTTATATATGATCACTTTTTACTGTTCATTATTGTGTGCTGGCTGCTCCTCCTTTGCTCTTGAGGTGGTTGTCTGAACCAACTTTTGTGTTGGCAATTTGGTGTTGGTTCTTTGGAGGAGGTAGCCGAATTCCTCTTTTTGAGATGGCAGTAATTTCTGCTACCCTACTACTCTACTACTCTGCTGTTCGGCGGTTCTGCTGTTCTTGTAGATAAGATAAGGATGATGGGTTTGGTTGACCGGGTCGGCCAGAGCTAACCCGGTCGACCCGAGTTGACCCGGGTTGACCAGAGTTAATTGGGCTGAGATATGGACCTGGATTGTGGGTTTTTGTTTTGGGATGCCCTTCTAACACTTCTTTTTTTCTTTGCAGGTCTCTGGTCTGGCCCAAAATGATGACCTAAGGAGGCCCAAATAGCCTCAAAAGGCTAGGCCTCTAATTCTGATTGGTGCCACCAAAAGCAGAATTTTTTTTATTTTTTTTTAATTGTATAATTACAAGGTGTATCTTAAATGTCACAGATTGTAATTTGTAATTACACATTTGTTTATTTATGTCCTTGCCTTTAGAATTAGATGATCATTGTATGTATTACTCAATCATTCAATTGATTATTTCAAACCAATTCGTTAACTACAATCGTGACCAATATCCCAACTTCTAAGTAAATAATTCTTAGTTATGAATCGTGACCAATACCCCATTCAACCAATTTCAGACCTATATCACCAATCGTTAACAATAATACCGGTATAAGTCGTGACGGCATACTATTGCTATTCTAAATAAAGCGAATTTGGTAGCCATTAGCTACTGCTAATCCTACCTAGTACAAATATTCGAACTAAACAGAAGGAGGACTTCGAAATTATTGGTACTTGTTGATTTGCCACTGCTAATCTCAACCAACTCCGTCTAAACTTTCACTTGGGTTTTCTTTTTTAATTTTAAATGGAATATTCTTCCGAATTTTGAGTAGGATGGTTGCTCCGGACAAAATGTGGTGTCTACAATATCCATCATAAAAAAAAAAACAAGTACTCCCAATTAACAGAGCCAAAAGCTTTCATCAAAGTCCATCGTAATTGCACATCGTGAAGAAAGTTGCTTCCTATGGTAACCACTTACTAATTCATGCGTCATTAATATGTTATCCACAATTCTTCTACCTTCTTTAAAGGTGGATTGGTTTCCACTTATTACAGTAGGAAGGACCTTTAATCTACTTGCAAGCACCTTAGCAATAATCTTGTACAACAAGAGATAGGTATAAAATCTTATGCAATAATGAGACAACAGTAGATTTCACACCATCTAGCCGTCGTTTCGAGTGAAAAAAATCAAGCACAACTGTAGTAATATCAGCCCCAATGATAGCCCAAGTCTTCCTATAAAACACCGCTGAAAATTCGTCGAGACCTGGTGCTTTGTTTCAATCCATATACAAAACAACTATGAGAACTTTAGTTGTCATGACAGGAAGACACAACAACTCTTTCTCTACATCAACTAACTCCTTCTTGATGAGACTTTCAAGATTTTCTCTACTGGGTTTCACTACAGGGTCTACCTGACCAAATAAGTTTTTTAAAATTGCACCACTTCCTCTGCTATATGATCACTATCCATGAGTTCCTCATCACCATCTGTCACCAACTTCCTTATGGTTTTCTTAGTTGTTCTAATTTTTATAGCTTGGTAAAAAAAACTTGTGCTTCTGTCCCCAAGGTAAGCCAACCTATCCTTGATTTTTGCTTGTGCTGCTCTCTTCTGTTTCCTTAACTCATCCATCCTTTTCTCCAGAACTGAGACCTCACCAAAGCTCTGCTCATAAAGAAGATCCAATGCTCTAATTAATCTGGCTAGCAATCAACTAACTCTCTACCTCTTTTACTTGCAAACGTAAGTCATCATATCGTCCATCCATACATAATATTATGGCAATTCAAAAGTAGTTTGTTGCCACATAAATATTTGGAGAATTTACAAGGTGCCATGGTGTACACTTTTTTTACAACAAAAAAAGTTAGTTAATGATCTATTAATGTAGTTATATCTATCTTCTTTTAATATTTTCTTTTTATTTTAATGATCATTTATGTAGCTATCTATATCTTCTTTGAATATATTTTTTTTATTCAATAATTTTTTTTTGCAATATATATGTATAGCAGCAGTATACGTATGTTTGGAGAGTGACATATATTGTAATATTTTAACAAATATATTTGATTAAATCTGATCAATTAATTTTAATTTTAATTTTTATTAGAACTTAATACAGTGAAGTTTAGATAATCAACATTTAATAATCAATTGAATTTGAAAAACCAACTATATAATTTTATGTTTTGGTTATCAAACACTATCTTTTTCTAATGTTTGTATCTATTAATGAAAACAAGTATTAAATAGCAAAATGCTTCAAAAGTTGTTTTTCATTTAGATAGAAACTTGACGAAGTCATAATATAGTACCTGATTGTACAAATGAAGGCGATAAAGAAAAATAACTTTTCTTCTCTCTTATAATGCATGCTTCCATACCTTATTTTCTCTTACATTTGTTCATATTTCCCCTTATTTTTTCTAATAGTTTACATATTTCGGTCAAACAAAGGTGTTAATTACACTTAAAATACATTAAACTCTTTATATTTATATATGTATATTATGACATACTTTGAGTAAGAAAATGATATCTAGACCTTGAATTGACTGGAGTTTGGCATATGGTATTATTCTCAAACCCTTCAAGATTAAAATCTAGGTCTTAAATTTATAAATCTCATACCCTAAGATCAATTTAATTCTAAACAAAAATCAACGATCATGCTTCGTCAAAATATATGCAACATATTACATGCACAATCTTAGGGGTTAAGCTCTATGATTTAGATAACTAAGACATAGGGTTCACTCATCAAGAATTAGGGTATAGTATCATGCCCACAAATCCGGTTAATTCGTGGTCCAGATGGCGTGTTCTTACTCAGAGTATAGTATCATGCTTAGATATTGACAATAGATGTGGCATTACACCAACAAAATGAAGGTATTAGTATAAGTTTAAGCAAATGCATATTTGATAAGTTAGAAAATTATACACCAATGGACCATGTTAAGATTAGAACCCTCGACAGTGTGTGAGTATCTTGGACCGAGATTCTAAACCAACATCTAAACAACGATCATTCGTTGAGAGTGAGTTTAAATTAAACTTCAGGAATTAACAATTGGTACATATTGTATAAGATATTAAATTGAGTGTCTTGATCGACAAATATGATCTTACAATAAGACAATAAACTTTCAATTGGGATGACCAAATTTACCTAATATTGAAGTACCTTTATAAAAACATTCTAACTAAGTTGTCGTCATCTGAGCAACATCATTGGTTGAGAGTTTGTTTAAACTCGAGATTCATTGAATGACATATATTGTATAAGATAAATTTTTTTGAGTATCGTTGTTTTAATTTATAGACGCACCACATACTCATGCATTTGAGTATCGTGATATATCTTTGTGACATGATTTATGATAAGAGAATGGAAACATCATAAGTGAACATGCTAAGCATTGAGAATTTTTAATTTACAGACGCACCGCATACTCACACATGAATGCAAATGTAAAAAATGTAGAAGATCCAAAATAGTTTAAACATATAGATAAATTGATTAATATAAATGATAAAATGAAACTCACCGACCAACGGGCCGGGTAAAAAGCTAGTACCTCTTTGTTGAATTTCTTAAGAGGTTTTTTTTGCCTCAAACCAACTTTGCTTTTACTACCATTATAGAAGCCCCATTTACATGCGTCACCCATGCCTTCTGAATCAAGGGAAGAAAGTTAGGATTTTTAGACCAAAAATCAAAGTATTTGAAGTGATCATGATTTTGTTTTTAGTTTAAAAATGATATAAATAAAAGTTTTTTATGGAAAAAATTTTAAAAAGGATAAGAAAAATCTTAGATGTTCAAAACAGATTTTCCTAAAAACTAAAAATATGAGTTTCTATTTTATGTTGGAAAAACACTTTTTAGCTTTTTCAAAAGTCAATCAGATAGCAGAATTTAGCCCGCTTCAATTTTTGAAGGAGAAAAATATTTTTAAAAATAGGACCAAACACAGTATCAATACATGTCTTACCCAACGAAATACAGTGTAGCATAAAAAGATGAGTTTTGGAGAACCATTTAAGTTGAACAAGATTTTTGAACACTTTGCCTCAACTTTGTTTACATGAGAAAGCTACTAAAAGATGCAGAATATCATATAAGGAGGACAAAATTTGTGTTTGATCTTTTTTTTTTTTTACCCCGAGAAATGTCAAGAACATAGTTAGAAAGAACCACTACCCATAATCCCTTCCCATCCCACTTACAAGCCAACCAACAAAGTCAAAAGAAACTAACTCTAGCCGGGACAGCAGCAGGGCTTTACGTGCCACTCTATGAGCAGCCCAGTTGACAGTCTGCGGTATTGCCCTAAATTCTATACAAAGAGAACAAGACTCAAGAAGATAACAACAATCTCGAAGAAAGGGGCCACCAATCGAATCCTCCACCAATCGAAGCTTGAGCTGACGGATGACCACTTCTGCATCGCCTTCGATGATAATCGGAGACAAACTTCTAGAAGTTGCAAGAGAGATTGCATCCCTGGCTGTAAGGAGTTCTGCAAGATAATGATCCGAGATACCATAATGTTGAGCACCCACGGCAAGAAGCACATGCCCATCCGAGCAGCGGACAACCAGGCCAGACGAGGAGCCAACACTTTGGAGAGCAACATCAAAGTTAATCTTCAAAAAGTCTTGAGGCGGGCAATCCCAAAGAAGAGGTCTAGCAGAGGCAGGAGCACGAGGAAGGGGAGACGAGTCAGGCTGGGCAGAGAGAACCTCGCGGATTTGGAAAGAGAATTGGCAGGCTAACGAACGGACATGAGGCTGGGTATTTTCAAATACCACTTTATTTCTTGATTTCCATATTCTCCATAGGAGGCACACTATCTGGAGAATATGGGTTTGGGACTACTCATCTAGCATAATTTGACACCACCACAAACTAAAATTCCTTCTTGGGGCCGAGTTCAGTAAATCACTTAATCCCACAAAATACCAAAGTTGGATGGCAAGGGGGCAACGAAAAAACAAATGTTCTATACTTTCTTGGAACCTCCAACAAACAGGGCAACGACTTAGACAGTTAACCCCGCGGGATTTGAGAGCCACTGTTGTAGGGAGGACATAAAATCAAGTGAATATTATAACCTAAAACACAATAACTTCTTTGAACGAAAACGTAAACCATAATGAATAATTGATATTAATAAATCAATAATTGATTAATAATAATCATCACTCCAAAACAGGGTTTTGAAACGGTCAATTAAAGACCAAATAGCGCCATTAAAAGGTCGCTTTAATGACTCACTAGTCATTCATAACGTCTCATTGGAGACTTTCCGAAATTGAGGCCGGCGACTCACCGGCAAGGTATCCCATCAATTTTAACACGAACACATGGAACGGGTCACTTTCTCCCTGATATCTATTCTTCCGAGCAATGCAGCCAAGCCTTACATCCCCTTTGAATTTGGAACTATAAGGCTACCACTCCACGTCCACCTTCGATGTCTTCTTTCCTAATTTCTTGATGAGAAAAGAAAAGAGTAGGAAAATAGGGGAATGCAGCAAAGAACGGTTCTCGACAGACCAAAATCGCCAACAAAGGTATGTAGAAAGAGCGAGTGGAGAAATTGAGAGGGAAGGAGACTTGAGTAGCGCTGCTTTCGGCTGGAATGCTGAAACTGAAGATTCGATTGTTATTGTCAATTGCTTGAGTCTCAGACTGTTGACTGGCCGAATGTGTGAATGAGAAAGAAAACTGAAGATTCGATCTCCAAGTAATCTTGTTACTACATCAAGCCATCAAAATTATTGTTTTTAGTTTTTACTACTATCCGCTCCAAACTTGCTTGTTCCCATTCCTACTCTCTCGTTATGAAAAATGAAAACCCTACACACATAAGGTTAGAAGTTTGGTGCCTGTATTTGCAACATATTGAATATCGTATCAAATTTTTTAATATTTGATAATACCGAATATACACATTATTTGAGATTGAGATTTTGATTTAGATTGAATTCCAAATGTTATTTTGTATTAGAGATTAGGAGATTGGGATCGATAAATACCGATCAATACCAAAATATAAGATAGTGTGTATTTGATCCTTTCAACTAGACTCTCTCCCTCACTACTACCAAACGCTAAACCGCCAAGATGGTCACTTAATTATGCATAGCTATTCTCTCATTATTTGATAACTCATAACGAGCTCATTTTGTTATTTGTAATAAGGGTGACCATACGATTGCAGTTTTGGGGTTAAACCGCTAAGCACACCGAAATCGCGGTTTGTGGTTAACCGCAAACAAAATAAGAAGACTTTTTTGTGATCATGGTTAGTGATGTTGGTTGTTTTGCAATTAGCAGTTTAACCACAACCGCAACCAAATAAGAACTAGTCGCGCGGTTTGTGGTTAACCGGCCGCAAACCGAATAAGAACTTTGGAGGTCCTTCTAGTTCCGCCCTACATGTTGTCGCATGAAATCTACTCTTCAAAATACAAAGGATCCCCATGAAGCACCATCGGCACGGGACACATACCGACGCCCGTAGTATGCCACCACCTTTAGTCCTGCACGTGGTTTGCACTGCGGTGAACTGCGGTAAACAGTTAACCACACTTTATGGTTAGCGCTTAACAGCTAACCGTTTGCGGTGTTGCCGCAGTTGACATAAATGACTCTATTTCGCTTGAGGTTAACCACAAATTTTGGAGCGGTTAACCGCAACTGCACTGATTGCCAGCCCTAATTTGTAGAATGTTAATAGGTTGTTTAGTAGTCCCCTGTTCAGTTTGTTAATGTGATTCTTAAGCACCACATATTTCTAGCTTGTCATTATTGTACTTGAGTTTATTTTCCGTTTATTTTCCACTAGTGGCATTATTTTTTTATATATATTTTGAGAATGGTTTGTGAAACTGCTAGCAGAGGAGAAGAATTTGTGTTTGTATATTTGATTTGTAATTTTGAAAGGAACTATTATGTTTTTGGTAATGGATACTAATATGCACCCTTGAACACACGAGCAAGATTCGGGGTGAAAATTGGTACGCTATCGGTATCATAATACCAGATACTGAAATCCCAAATACCAAATAGTACCCAAACTCAATCTCAATCCCAATACCAAAATCAATTCGATATCACAATTTCAATCCCTAAAAAATTTTGGTCGGTATATACCAATTATCAAATTAATTTCCTTCAAAATTACAAATCAAATATATAAACGCAAATACTAGCTCTACAAATAATCTAATATATAAAAATAAACAATGGTGTGGTGCCCAGTACAAAACAAATAATAAAAAATCTCAAGTTATTACACTAGAAAAATGTGGTGTCTAAAAAACACTTTTACAAACTAAAGCAAAAAATTCCCTTAAAAAGAAGTTAAAACAACAAACTTAAACATGAGACTTATAAGCAACCCATAAACATAATACAAATAACAAAATGAACTTGGTATGAGTTATCAAAATGTAGGAAATGAGCTATCATAATTAAATGATTATCTTGGTGGTTGAGGGTCTTGTAGTAGTGTGTGAAGGAGTCTAGTTGAGAGAGATATACCAAGGTTCTAAAAGGCGCTAGGCGTAAGGCATGCGCTCGGCTCCTGACTTGCGCCTTGCCCGATTAGGTGTAGCCTAGGCGCGTCTAGGCGTTCAGAGCATAAATGGAAAAATTCTCAAATATTTCCTGTTTTCTGGAATAATTCATATAATCCAAGTGCATATAAAATTAGCAATGTCTAGTTCTTAACAGTAAACACTTAACATAACAAATAACAAGCAAATAGTGACCAATCATCTGCTAATAGGTACTTATAGAGGCAAGAAGCTTGTGCTACGTACCGAGGAGAAGGAAGGAGCAGCAATTGACGAGTTTCGACTTTATTTCCCACTATAGCAGTGGAGCGGTGTGAAGGCGAGAAGAGTGATCGATGACTTTCTCCTGCGGCGGCAGAGAGCAGCAAATGGGGCGAGAGCTAGGGCGGCAGGCGGCAGCATATGTTACTTTCCGTGTTTCTGATTTTCTAGGGCAAGAGGCAAGTTTCTGATATTCTAGGACAAAGCGAAGAGTATTGGGTTTAACCTCCTAAGCTCGCCCACGAACGCCTTCTCTCCACTAGGCGCAAACTAAGCGCTATTCCTATATACTAAGCGCTACCAGCGCCTTTTACAACGCCTATGGCCAAGTCAAGGAGATCCTCCACCTCCTAGCGCCTAGCCTAGGCGCGCTTTCTTGAACCCTGGATAATACACACTAGCTTATATTTCGATATTAATCGATATTTTGAAATATACTGATCTCAATTTTGCAATCCCTATAACTCTTGAAATTCAATCTCAACCTCAATTTGGTTCCAATCCCAATAAATAATACATGTATTTGATAATATCAAATATTAATAAATTTGATACGATAATCATTATATTTCAAATACCGGTACCAAATTTACAGAGACTTTTATCTAGCATGCTGAGGCCCAGCATAAGCACATAAGACCAAGATTGTCAACCCCCGGGCTGACCCGGAACCGGTCGAGCTAGTGGGTCAAGGGTTAATGGGTCACCCGGTTTAGCTCGGTTTAGCCTGGAAATATGGAAAGAATCATTATAATGTACTTATCCTTATAAATGATATCAAATCTCATCTAACATATGAGTTATAACATATAATATTACACCAAAAATTAACATGTTGTACTTATATCCAGCATATAGTGAAAATTCACACACACTTATTTAACATCAATATTCAAATGTTCAACTTAGGATTCCAAAAATGGAGTTAGGTGAAAAGAAAAATCGGAAAATAGGCGCATTTCGCAAACCAACGAAAAAAATGACACAATTTAACCTCGAATCCGATACTTTGTAGCGGTCGACCCGTCAGTTGCGTGCAACCCATTTTTCTCACTTGACCAGGATGAAAGTGGGTCCACCCGACCAGCGGGTTGACAACTTTGCATAAGACCAAACTACGCCGTAAGCTAGCGATAGCCGCAGAAGAAAAAACATATAGGTAAAAGAAGAATTCGAGGGAGGGGAAAATTAGGTTCTAGGGCAATCTTTGTTACATACTGGGTTGGCGCTTCGCTTTTGCTCGTAACACTCGCTGTTAGAAGCAAGGAAACGCAGCTCGGTACAACTCACTCTTTCTTGAAACAGATCCCTCCAAAAGGTACCAACCGAGAGGAACAGATTCGCTGTTTCTAGGGTTTTACGGTTCCCCGGCGAAGAAGTATTGCGAGAGAAAATGGGGTTCTCAATGCAGCCTTACGGCATACAATCAATGCTCAAAGAAGGGCACAAGCATCTCTCCGGTCTCGACGAAGCCGTCATCAAGAACATCGACGCCTGCAAGCAGCTCTCCACCATCACCCGCACCTCTCTCGGCCCTAACGGTATATTTTTATCGGATTCACACCCATTTCTTTTTTTAGGTTTTGTAAGGGTTTCCCGATTCGGATCTCTTGAATTTGTTGGTCGATATTTTGCCTTCCCTAGGTATGAATAAGATGGTTATCAACCATTTGGACAAGCTGTTTGTTACTAACGATGCGGCCACCATCGTGAACGAGCTTGAAGTTCAGCATCCTGCTGCCAAGATTTTGGTCCTTGCTGGGAAAGCTCAGCAGGAGGAAATTGGGGATGGAGCTAACTTGACCATCTCTTTCGCTGGCGAGCTACTTCAGAATGCTGAAGAACTCATCCGGATGGGCCTGCATCCCAGTGAGATCATTAGCGGCTACACCAAGGCCATTGTCAAGGTAACAAATCTATGATACCGCACGTTGTCAATGTGTGTGGCGAGACTGAGTGTGTGAACCTTTAGTAGTCTTGCGCTTTCTGTTTATTAAAATTGTCTCCTTTCTTGTGTCCCAGGCGATTGAAGTATTGGATGAATTGGTAGAGCAAGGGTCGGAAACTATGGATGTGAGGAGCAAAGAGCAAGTTGTTTTCAGGATGAGGGCTGCTGTTGCTAGCAAGCAATTTGGGCAAGAAGATGTTTTGTGCAGTCTTATTGCTGATGTATGCATACTGCTTCGAACCTGCTTTGTTGATCATTGCGTTTCCTGTGAAATTTGTTTATCTTGACTTGGTTCCATCGGTTGCTTGAACCATAGGCGTGCATACAAGTTTGCCCCAAGAACCCAGTAAGCTTCAATGTGGACAGTGTCCGTGTTGCAAAGCTTGTGGGAGGAGGCTTGAACAATAGTTCCATAGTTCGTGGATTGGTCTTGAAAGGTGATGCTGTCGGTACGATCAAGAGAATAGAGAAGGCTAAGGTGAAGATGTTTGCTTTCATTGATTCTGTTTTTCAATACTGACTTCTTACATTGTTATTTTTTCTATATTAGAAAGAAGTTCTATTTTAATACATTTACTGCCTTTTAAGGCAGAGGTTTGTTGATCTCTTCCTGAATGAATATAAATATTATTCTCATTTCTTTGGCCTTTGCATGTGTAGGTTGCTGTATTTGTTGGTGGTGTTGATACAGCTGGAACTGAAACCAAAGGAACTGTCCTAATTAACACGGCTGAACAGGTATATCTATATTTGTTCTCATCCAGTAGAGTTATTGTTGTTAATACCTTGTGTCTGTGTTGTGTTTTCATGCTGCATCTTGTGAAACTTATGCTGTTTTGTTCTATTTCTATTTTTTTCTGCCATGCAGCTACAAAATTATGCAAAGACTGAGGAAGCTAAAGTTGAGGAGCTTATTAAGGCAGTAGCTGATTCTGGTGCTAAAGTTATTGTCAGTGGTGCTGCAGTTGGAGAGATGGCCCTACATTTCTGTGAACGATACAAGTATGCTTTGTCGAACTAAGATCTTGCTAAGTTTATCATCCTAGATCTGTTTATATTACATATCGATTTGCATGTGCTCTCAGCTGAACAGTGTGAGTTGAAATTGCAATTGTGATACTGGTTGCTTGGTAAATTCTTTTGACCGATCCCATCAACGTTTTCACCCTCTGTGATTCTCTTATTTGTAGACTTATGGTCTTAAAGATCAGCTCGAAATTTGAATTGAGACGATTTTGTCGCACAACTGGCTCTATTGCAATGGTATGTTTGTTACCATTTTGTTTCCAGTTGAACGTTTCTTTGCCGCAGCTGATTTGCCCTTTATTGTACCTGTTTTGTGCAACAGTTGAAGCTTAGCGCACCAAACCCAGATGACTTGGGACATGTAGATTCGGTTTCAGTTGAGGAAATTGGTGGTTCAAGGGTATGTCCAAATACGATTTTTTAATCATATAGTTGTTTCACTTCAGCTAGTCCTCATTGACTTGGTTTGTCACTGTGATATATTGTGCAGGTCACTATTGTGAGAAATGAAGAAGGTGGAAACTCAATAAGCACTGTGGTTTTGCGAGGCAGCACAGAAAGTATACTGGATGACCTTGAAAGGGCTGTTGATGATGGAGTGAACACCTACAAGGTGCGTAAGCTCAAATTTATTTTTGGTTGCTTGCAAATCTTCGTTAGACCTGGATTTGCTCGTGATGGTTTATTCCCTCATTCCCCCCCCCCCCCCCCCCCCTTCCCTTTCTGCAATTCTTGAAGTTCTACCGCCCCTTTGCTGCTTAAACCACATCTTCATCTTTGGTAATAGGCAATGTGCAGAGACAGCCGAACAGTACCCGGAGCTGCAGCTACTGAGATCGAGTTGGCTAAACGAGTGAAGGAATTCTCATTTAAAGAAACAGGGTACATTTCTTGCTTTTAACTGTAATTATGTTATTATTTCGTAGAACTGTAACTCTGTTTTGTTTGTTCTATCGAAAGCTTCTTTTTTTTTTTTTTTTTGCAATTCTCAGAATCCGTTGCTGTTTGTGAATTGATCTTTGCAGTTTGGATCAGTATGCGATTGCGAAATTTGCTGAAAGCTTTGAGATGGTTCCAAAGACACTGGCTGAGAATGCTGGTCTGGACGCAATGCAGATAATTTCTTCTCTCTATGCCGGACATGCATCTGGAAATGCTAAAATTGGCATAGACTTAGAGAATGGTGTTTGCAAGGACGTGACAGAGACCAAAGTTTGGGACCTCCATGTGACTAAGTATGCTTCCGTTATATCAACGTTAACTGTTTGAATTGATTGTTAATCCTGGGTCCTTACCTTTCACCTATTTTCCCCCTTGTGTGTAGGTTTTTTGCTCTCAAATATGCTGCCGATGCTGCCTGCACTGTGTTGCGAGTAGATCAGGTATGCTGTGTTTTTCTGTTTCTAAGTATTACCTTGGTCTCAGTTGGTTGTTTATTCGATGTCAAAGTTATCAGAGACATTCGATCATTGAATTGGTTGCATTGCTATTCTTCTTTCGGCAGATCATAATGGCGAAACCAGCAGGTGGACCGAGGAGAGACCAACAGCCAGCCAATGATGAAGACTAGTTCTTATGCATCTCTTACGAATTCCATCAGTTTTGTCTTCTGTTTGTATCTTATTATCCAGCAGAATATCGATCCACTAGGGGTAGGAGTTATCTCTCTAGTTTTGATTTAGTTTTCAGCTGCCCAAACGAATCAAACTTACCCCTTAAGTACAGTTTTGCTTGCCATTAAGTAGAATGAGGTTTGTTGAACTGTTGGCCTGGAAATTCTACAGCTCTCGCGTTGATTTTCTGGAATCATGTCCCTTGGAATTCATGGTATGTAACTGTGGTGCAGCAGTTTACCTCGGCCAATCTTTCCCAAATTGCGAAATATAATCCAAAATATATAGTTAATTAGACATCGTGAAATGTTTTTTAACCAGAAAGGTAATGAGAAACATGGATTTGGTAAAGATATTTACCCAAAATTATGAATGGTCCATAAGAAAAGAAGATAAAAATTAAGTTTGAGTGCAAATATAGGGCCAAAGGGTCGCAAACAAAGACAAAAACAAGCTGTTTTGTCTGCGAGTTGGCCAGGATGAGCTTTCTCCAATCTCCACCCAGCTAGCTCGCAGGGACTGTGTGGAAGCAGTTCAAGCTCTGGTTTCCTTCTTCTTTCCCTCCTTCCCTTCAATGGCTTCTCTTCTATCTTTCTCACTTCCCAAACTAGGTATAGTGAGAGCCACTTCACTCTCTCCCACAACTTCCATCCCCACCACCACTTCAGACACCGGTGGAAGCAGCAGTGGAACACTTGAAGAGAAGTTTGGCAGAAAGGGAATCAAGTTCACAGATTCGGTTGCAGAACTCACTGTCAGAAATGGCAGCTCATTGAAGCTCCACATTCCTGATGCTCACGTCACTTCATACTTACCCAAAGTCCACTGGAAGGATGATGGCTTCGAAGAAGTTCTCTACACAATCCCACCAAGTGGGGATGGAAAGCAATCCAAAGGTGGAATTGGTTTGGTTCTCCATGATGTCTCTCCTCAACCTTCCTCTCTTACTGGCCTGAAGCAAGTGAAACCCTCGCAGCCCAAACCTTCCCTTCTCACAACTTCTGAATGGTCAGTCAAGGCTGTGGATTCTGATGCCATTGATGCCCTCCAGGTAGGGAAAACCTGAAACCTCGAAACTTCTTCATATGGGTTTCTTTCCTTGTTTTGATTGGTTCCGTAAAGTTATGATCTTTCTGGGGTTTCTTCTGTGTGTTTAAGGTTGCATTGGGGTCAAAAAGTGGGAGCCTTGAGATGACATATGTGGTGACTCTCTATCCAGTGAGTGTGGCCACAGCAGTAATTGTAAAGAACACTGGGAGGAAACCTGTGACCTTAACAGGTGCTATATTGAGTCACATGAGATTCAAGCGTCGAGGTAAGGCGGCAATTCAAGGGCTGAGATCGTGTTCATATTGTACTCATCCTCCATTGTCGTCACCCTTCGAGATCATCACACCTGGTGAAGCCATGAAGCCTGACTCCCCTGGACTGTTTGATTTCTTCTATGAACCCGAGGAGAAACCCGGGTCGTGGAAAGTTCAGGACATCCCTTTTACAATGCTGAACCATAGGATCAGTAGAGTCTATGCTGCTCCACCTGAGGAGAGATTGAAGCCTTTCTACAACACCCCACCATCCAAATATGAGACACTTGATCAGGTAAGAAAGATGAACCCTTTTGTTTGGTTGGTTAGATTATGTGACTTTGAATTGAGATCCTTAAGGTTGTGTGTGTGAATTTTTTTTTTTTCAGGGAAGGGAGATATTCTTCAGGATGATTAGGATGGGATTCGAGGACATCTACGTGTCAAGTCCAGGCACATTCTCAGAGAGGTATGGTGGTGATGAGAAGCATCATTTCATCTGCACAGGGCCTGCCACAATGCTGGTGCCTGCTGTTGTGAAGCCTGGTGAAGAGTGGAGAGGAGCACAAGTTATAGAGCATGACAATTTGTAGTCCCGCTTTAAAGCAAAAGCTACCATGATATGATTTTTGGAGTAAATATTCAATGTTTTGTCCATTATATACTATCAATGTATCACTCATACTAATAGTAAGTAAGTGTTCGAAGAACTATGTTAGAAAAGAAGTTATTGGGATGAACCGATGTGTGACACGATAATGGAGTACATACAATAAGATCAGAAGTTTATCAGCACCCGTAGAGCTGAGCTTAATGCCGCTGAAGTGAAGAGGATAAGGCTTACAAAACTGGTTGGCTGACAGCTTATAAGGCTGCAAAATGGTCTCATCTCATGATTCCTCATTCCTTAAAATGAATAATTGGGAGAAAATGCATAATATTTTCACAGGCAAAAAAGTTCGAAATATCCTGATTCCCCTATCTTCAAGTTATCTCCAAGGAGATAAGTTAAAGGGACCCGTTCATTCCCATTTCTCTCTTCTCATGGCTTTCACTTCACTCCTCTCTCTCAACCCCACCAATCCTATCTCCTCCACGTTCAGAAACTTCTCTTCATCTTACCCTGCTTCTCTTTCTCCTTCTCATCTTCTTTCCTCAACCTTCAATAGAAGGGAACTCCAACCTTCATCAGTGGCTTCACAATCAACCAGCCAGTTTCAACCAATCAATGTGGACTACTTGGAGCAGGAATTCAGTGGCCATGGAGTCAGTTTCCAAACCCTTGAGGAAACCTGCTGTGTGGGCAAGATGAGGTTGAACAATGGCAGTACTGCAACTTTCTTGCTCCCAAGTGGCTTGATCACTTCATATAAGGCTAAGATGTGGCATGGCGGGACCATGGAGCTGCTCCAGACATCTGTGGGCTCTTCTTCTTCTACATCGAGAGGAGAAGAAGATGGTGCTCTGATTCAAGGGGGAGTTTCTTTGGCTTTCAACTTTAACAGCCATGGCTGTGAGACTTCATGGTCTCCGAGGACTTGGGCTATTAGTGATGTTAGAGGGGATTCTGGTGACTCCATTGAGGTTAGCCTCTCAAACTTCTGAAATCATTTTGATGGCATGGATTGGGTACTATTTGGTCTTTTCACCCCCCCAAAAGTTCTGTATTTGGGCAGAACCTTTTAACCATCAAGTAATATTGACAGGATAAAAAGATCATATGGATGAAAAACATTGAAATCTAAGAAACACACAATATTGAAATAAGGATATCTTCAAATTATCATATAATTTGGCTATGAAAACAGACTGGGGTTTTTAGAGAAGTTAAACTCCATGGAGCAATTTGCACTCTAAAAAATGTGTTTTTTTCTTGGGAACACAGGTTGAACTAGTGAGCACTGGTGGAGCAGTGGAGCAGATGGTTGAAATCAGATACACAATAACCATGAGTGACGACATGTTGAGCTCTGAGCTCAGTGTCTCAAACTTAAACCCTTCATCTCCCATCATGATGAAAGGCTCCATTCTGAGCCACCTGACAGTGAGCACACCAGAAGCAACATCTGCATGTGGATTAGAAGGTTCCAACTTCTTCCCCAGGCCAATGTTCATGTCGGATTTCGCCATCGTTCCACCACCTCCTCCATCTCAACTTGGCCAAAAAAGTGGAAATCTTTGGGGCAGAAGAGGAAGGAATCAGAATGTAGTGGCAAGAGAAGAGGAAGAAGGAATGGAAGGTGAAGAAAGTGACAGCCACAAGAAACTTACTGAACAAATGTGCAGGGTTTACACCAATGCACCAAGGAACTTCACCCTCATTGACAGGGTAACCCTGAAGCTGAAACTTTGGTTTTTCGCTTTCACAGATTGAATCCTGGTTGATGAGTGCTTGTTAAGAAATCTTTCTATGTTTTTGGTTGCTTGTTGCAGGGGAGAAGGAACTCAGTGGTGATTGGCAGGGAAGGGTTCAATGAGATGTATATGTACAGTCCAGGGTCAAGCCATGAGAGCTATGGGATGTATTCTTATATATGTGTGGGACAATCTGCCATGCTCAACCCTCTGGCTCTTGCTCCTGGACAAGTTTGGAGAGGCTGTCAGCATTTACATAACCCTAATCTTTGAAAAATAATCAAACAACTATTCCAAAGATCTAATGATCATTTTGGGTGTGGCATATCTTCAACCTCTATGAGGCAACTCGGACTTCAAATGGGTTCGGGCAAGGGGCGGAGCCAACGTTCAATTGGTGTGGGTTCCATAACCCATCTTGAATCTCTGCTAGAATCCAAAACATGAGTAGTTGCAAACTGTCTCAGAGGAATCGAATCCAATATAACTAAACTAGATAGAGGGCTTCACATGTTTACCTAAAAACTACAGGGAATATTTTTTGATTCATATTTACCTTTATTGTATAATATAAACAAAAATTAGCTACAATAACATACAACCTATCTCTAAATTGTTTATTACAAATTCTCAATACTTAATTCATTGTCGACTTCCCCTAAACCAAATCAAAATATGAAAGAAAGCCCTCACCCACCCATTTAAGAGCGTACAAAATCCACGTTAAGTAAAATTCGGACTATGCCCTAGTTCGAACTCGATGGAAGATATTTTTTAACGCAGCATGTTTCAAGTGTTCAGATTCTTAAAGTGAAAGGGTCTGGATCGTTGGTAGGGATGGTAATTTCAACCTGACCTGTTTTACTCAATTTGTTTGGCCTGATTTGGGGCGGTAAGCAGGACGGGGCAAGCATGGATACCACTCATCGACCCAACCTACCTTGACTAGTGATGGCAATGAGTCAGACGGGGCAGGTATCTCAATACCTATACTCCATCCCACGCTACTACGGGTCGGGCAGGTAATACGCGCGGAAAAAAAAAACAGAACCTAGAAAATAGAATGGTGCGGCAAGAAACACAGGAATCTTCACCTGTTAAGCATAATCAACGACATCCAACTAAAAAATGCTGGAAAATGGTTAACGGACACATCGTTCCACAACCACAACTGAGACTACAACAACATGGACAACCAGAAGCAAAAAACGGGAATGGCCTAAGTTGGAGGAAGGAAATGGCCTTGCTCAGAACCATCGAACAACATCGCCAACGATGCCAAACTTGAGAACACAGCAAAACCAAAAGCAACAAGCCACCCACAATTGTTCTTCTTGTTCTGGTATCCTTTCTCAAAGCAATCACTTTCCATGTCAGTTTTCTTCTCTGAAACCACCAGGTTTGCCACTTGATCTGCATCTACTGGAGGAACATCCTCTGTTGAAGAAACCGATTCATCGACATCCTGATACATCTCCTCGCCACCAGCATACGACTCTCCATTCTCATCATATGCATAGCCATTGTTATGGCGAGGAATCCCATTTTGGTTGAGCTTTGAAGTTGGATCGACATCTTGATACATCCCCTCACCACCAGCGTACGACTCTCCATTCACAGCAGATGCATAAACATTATGATGGCGGAGAACCCCATTTTGGTTGAGCTTTGAAGTTGGGCTGTTTTCATATTGGCAGGAACAGTGACTCCTGAACCTCCTGCTTTCTCTTGAGTAGGATTCTGAATCAACATCCTGGAGAGAGCGTATGAGCTTCCTTGGGCTGGTGAACATGTTGATGTTGTCAACATTCAGGTGAGAACGTGAAATCTGAACGATATTGACGAACATTAATGTGGATTAGAACTCGAAAGCAATCAAACAGTCATATCAAAGAGTTCCGAACATATTTAGCTGTTGAAGTTCAGTCACAAAGGAATCAGTCGTAATTCTAACAAACTATTTTAGTAATTTGAGGCATTAGCAAGTGTAAAACACTAAAACACATGAAGAAACTGTGAAGTTATGTGCACAACAAATTACCTGGGGGCTTGGAGTGCAGCTCCTGGCAACTGCATTTTGTGGAGTCTTTGGCATGAAGCCTGAAAACTCCCCTTCATGATGATCTCCATTCTCAGTCGAGCTATGTCGCCTAGCATGACCAAAAGAGGAATTCTTGATGGTATTACCTCCATTAGAAAGTTCTGTAAACAAACCATCTTTCAGAGACACATCAACTCCTCCATTCTCATGACTCCATAATTTACGAGTCACACTCTTCCGGTCAAACTCACTCCCATCACAGTCATACTCCACAGCACGAGAAATGGGAGTTCTGGATAGAGGCGAATCAATCATTGATTCGTAATCCATAAACGAGGCAAGCGTCTGAGATTCCGGGGTACTAGAAAAATTCCCTCTTCTTCTCTGATCTCTCCTGCTAAAGCTATCAGACCCTGTGACAGAACCAGAACCAGAACTCTTGTCCAACTTCAACCCTTCATCCGAAATCTTCTTAGCAGTCTGCAAAGCTTCAAAAGCAGCTCCTTTCACATAAGCCATCTGATCAAATTGACACTTCTCCATCTCCTCCATGATCAATCCAAGGGTCGAGACTATGCTTCTAGAATCCAAACACTTCATCATGAAATTCACCATCTGAATTGCTGAGAGCCTCTTCTGTGAATTACTACCACAATCCTGAGAACCACCAATATTCAGGATTCTTAATCCTGATTGAATCAACAATCTAGCATAAGCTTCGACTATCAAAGCATTACGCTTCGACAAAGACATAACCAATGCCATATGAGAATTCGACTGAATCGACTTCTCCTCAAGAGCAACAGCAACATTCTGGCAAACTTTGTTCACCATCTCATCAGAGGCGAATCTCCAGTTGTCGCAGTCCACAAGCGTCTTCAAGCAAAGTGCAGCCCCTGAACTGAGACACTCCTGAGTGGCCAAAAGAGCTTCAACAAGTGGCTTGCAGAGTGAATGGATTATGCGCCTCTTTTCGTCCTCAGGGGTTCCTGGTTCAATTCCATATCGAGCGATTGCAGGGACCACTTTCGAGCAGGCTTGTTGGAGAGGGAAAGACACTCCATTTGCTGAAAGTGTGTTGATGACTGTGGTCATGATGGTGTCTATGAGAGGGACAATTTTGGGTCCATGGACACGGGCGAGGACTTCATACAGGGAGATGGTGTATTCTCCAGATATGGAACCAGTTTCTTTGGTCTCCGAAACTTGGGCGAGAAACAGCGGGATTGCCCTTGAATCCATCTCTTTGACGTAGGATTTCAACGCCTTCATTGCTGATTTTCTACTATCAGCATCTTTGTCAAGATTTGCTAACTCTCTCTTTAAAATTGGACTCAGATTTCTACCACCCATTGCCGGACCTGGATCCCAAAAGAAACATAATCAACAAACCTGCCATAAAGCGGTTTGAAATCAACTACAAGCTTCAACGTCGACAAAAGCGTACCAAGGAAACAACAGAAACCCCACAATTGATTAAACCCAAATTGGACCAAGAAAGTTAAGTGGCCAAACTCTCCATTCTCAACCAAAAAAAAGTACACCCAATAACACAAAGGAAGAAGTGGGTATCTCAGATTTGTCCTATCCAACAACAAATTACAGGACACGAGAAAAAAGAGAATGAATTTATGAAAACCCACCTTCTCAATAACCTTTTTCCAGGTTTAACTCCGTCTATAGGTTCTACTATCTCCCCCTTCTGGTTGACTCAGGCCCGTTCTCCACCGGCTAAAGCCCGGCAACCGATTCCGACAGACGAAAGTGAGAAAAAGGTTGGAACTTGGCGGAAATTTTGAAACAGGAGGAGTTTTCCTTGATCGTATGAGTACAGAATCTGCAGAGAACAGTGAAGTGATAGGGTTTTAGGGTTTGAATTTTTTGGAGTGCTTCGGTTATGCATTAAAAGCGCGGTATTTTGGGGCTCGGTGTCGTTATGAATGAATGCGATCGGGATTTCCTTTTGTATTCTTTCTTTATTTGCTTTTATTACTTTTTGTTTTCATCCGGCAGCGTGCATGACAGACCGTCCTTCGCTGAATTCAAATCTTTTCGATAATTACCCCGCTGCCCTCTCTTCAACGCTTTGACGATCGTACCCTTGAGGGTTTCCTTCTTATTTTTTACTGCAATGAGATTATTACATCTATACAATGGGACAGGTTACGGTGATTACTACAAAGTAGTAATCACCGTGGTTACTAAGGGTAAATTGGGTATGGAAAAATAAATTATATTAATTAAATTTTTAATAAATTACATTTAAGGTAGTTACAAAAATCTATTAATTAAAAATCTCTCTTTCTCTCACTTCCGTAATCTCCAGCCAGATTTTCTTTCCATATTTTTCTCAATCTTTCTGCAAAAAAAAAAAAACGAAATCAGTACCAATCCATTAGACAAACACTACCACTTTGAAAAATATCAATACCATTGCAGAAATAAATCTATACCATTACACGAAAACTACCATTGCAGAAATAAATTTATACCATTACACGAAAACTACCATTCAAGAAATAAAAACACTACCATTTCACAAAACATCAATACCATTCAAGAAATAAAAACACTACCATTTCACAAAACATCAGTACCATTGCAGATTTAATCACTACCAATGCGACAAAAACAATACCAATGCGACAAAAACAATACCAATACGACAATAACACTACCACTACGAAAAAAATGACTACCATTTAAAAAAATCACTACGAGAAAAAAAGACTACCATTTAAAAAAAACATACCATTCCAATGGAATTCCTCCTTCCTTTGACTGCTACGGAATTAAATGACTACCATTTTGCTGCTGATTGCGATCGGACTCAATCGGCATCTGGGTCCCATCGCTTACGCCATCAGTCTCATTCGTGGGCTCTGTCTGGTGGTGGTGGTCGCACTTCCCGTCGGTCGCCCCACCATCGACGTGGTGAGAATGAAACTTTGAGTCCCTGCCGTCGATCACCAAACTTTGTGTCCCACCATCGATGATAACTACAGACAGTTTTGTATTGGATCAATAAAAAAATAGGCTAACCTAAAAATGGTGTCGATGAGAGTTGAGAGCACTACATCTCATTGTCTCTTTCGCGAGAGAGAGAGAGAGAGAGAGAGAGAGAGAGAGAGAGAGAGAGAGAGGAGGGCGGTGGAGGGGAGGCCGGCCGGCGGCTGTTCTCGGGAGCGATGAGGTTACGGGGACTGGGGGAGGGAGCTTGGTGGCGGGTTCCAATAGGGTAGAGTTTGGATTATAATTTATAGAGTAATCAGGTGTGGTATATTTTTCAATTCCAAAATTACCCTAATATAATCTTTATCGTTAATTTAAAATTAGGGTGAAAAAGAAGTAATGAATGATGTAGATTAAGGAAGCCACCGTGATTACTAAAAATTAAGTAACCAAGCTAACTCATCCCTCTATACAATAAATAAAATCCAAATGAGAAAACTTGAAGTCGCATTTCCTGCATTCAGAGTGAAAGTAGGAAGAACATTTTGATCTTCGCAATTACTCTTTTTTTATTCATTAAAAGGACACTTACTAGGATTCGAACCATGACCACTTTAAATAAAAGCAAAGATCATAACAAATCACACTAAGTACATTTGTTGTATATTTTTAAATTAAAAACATATAATCGCAGAGAGGAAAAAACTCTTCTCTCATTTCAAATTCCCTGCTCCAGGAGCGTTTGTAGAAAGGGTAGAATAGGGAGTGTCAATTTTTTTCTTTTTCCTATGTGGAACGGGTCAACTTACCGTACACATGCGGATTTAAACGGGTACATGAATGTCAAATTTTTTTCTTTAAGTCTTTTTATTTCTTCATGGTGGTAAAATAAATATGAAAAGGCAAAAACAATACTCCTTTTTATTGCTAAAAAGAAAAAAAAATTAACAATAAACTAATGCATGGATTCTAATGGCCTAACCGCTAATCATAAAATAAAAGAGCTGAATGAGCCTGACTTACACGGGATTTGCTCACCAAGTAAAACAAATGAACATCATGGGTTTGCTATTCTAAAACAAACTATTTTCTCTAGCATAATATATATTTTCTCTAGCATAATATATATTATGCTATTATTTTATATCTTAGTGGCTAAAATATCATGTATTTTAAAGTTATTCAATGGTTCAACCTCGATAAACCCAATTAGTCCAATTTTTATCCTTTCAAATATATATTATGTAATTATTTGATATCATAATGATTAAATTATAGTATATATTATAGGGAATCGTTTGGTATTTGTTAGTAAAAAACTAAACAGAAAGATCTATTTGGTTATTTTTAACATTAAAACGATCATAAACATTTTCAGTTTCCTTTCGAAATTCTATAGTTTTATTCCCGAATCAGTGATGTGCAAATGGCGAATTGCAGTCATCTCTTTTCTTTCATTATATTTTTTATTTTCAAATAGAAAGTTTAAAAGTAAAGAATAAGTAGAGTTTGGCATGGATCGGTCAAACAGGTTGAATTTCAAGTTTTAGCCTGTTTTGATCAAATCTAATTTATAATCACATGGTTCCCTGATACTTGATAAAAAATCTCAATCCAAACCAGTTTGGCAGGTGAGTCTGTGTTTACCACCATTTTCAAGGGATACAGGAACGGTGGTACCTATCCCAAATCGTGTTGTTCATTCTCGATTTCTTTAGATTTTATCATGGCTTGGCAAAAAACCAGAAAACGCAATGATGACAAGATGAAAGTTTTATAAAGCAAATTAATCGGCCAACGGTCCGGGTAAAAGCTAGCAACGATTGTGAGATGCTCATTTCCCGAAAATCGGCGGGATAGACGACTTTTTATTCGATTTTCTGGAATTCGGTTTCTATAAAACTTACTCCACCTCATCATATTACCAGAAATAATATTGTTTCACAAGATAACAGGTACTTGATTCGTTGGTCCATAGCGATAAATACGGGTAGGTTGGGTCGGGTGGGTCGCTTTGCGGGTGTGTTTGTTCACCCCTAGCGGGTAGCGACCTTTATGGAAAAGGCAAATAGAAATTGACCAATTACTCCTTCCGAAATCCGAACTATGCGGTGGTATACACATACTGCTGGAAGTTTGGTACCGATATTTGGGATATACCAAATATCGTACCGAATTTATCATTATTTGGTATTACCGAATACCGGCTTATTTTTTAGGGATTGGGATTATGATTCATTTTGGAGTGTAATTCGGTATTCGGGATTACGGGATTGGGATCAGTATATACCAAAATACTGAGAAATACCAAAAATTAAAAATTAATGAAATATAACACACAACCTTTAATCATTACTCACTCTTTCACAACTTAGAAGCCCCCATCCAACTCATTTTTTACTTTCCAGATTAAGTCATTCTCGTTTCTCACCTAATATCTTGTTATTTTAATAACACAAAAAAAACAAACACTAGTATTAATCGGCTCTCAACCTCCAATTCGTCAAATTAAGGATTATCATTGACAAGAATTCGAGATATCACCTCTCCTCCATTCTCCCTTTCCATATCCTAGCTCTAGCCAAACTCAAGACTTTTTGCTTAGTCTCTTTGCCCTAAATTAAACAATCAAATCTAATTATGTATTTAATTATTACTTGCAAAGGTAATTAATTTCGTATTCGATAATACCGATTGGGATACCGAAGTACCGATTGAGATATCGAAATATTTAGAGATTGAAATTGAGATACCGAAATTATTTAGGGATTCAGATTGAGATTGACTTTAGGGTGTAATTCGATATTCTGGATTTCGGTATTTGGTATTGGAATACCGATACCGTACCGATTTTCACACGATTATACACAACACCAGTTGATGTGGCAATAATTTTTGTGGCAGTAATTTTTTTGGCTGGTCGTAGGATTTTTAGTGGGCAAAAGGGGAGCTTTTGGGAAAAGAGCAGAGGAAAAAAAATTTGTCGCTTTGACGAATCGAACTGAAGACCTCGTTAATGAACAATGTTCATTTTCCACTGGGAATGGGGGAATAACCGGCCCCAACATTTCCAGGAAACGACTTTTAATGGTTTCCTTCTAGCTTCCTCATTTGTGCCAAATCAATTTTTCCAACGAAAACAAAATCAGAAGTGAATACGTTTCTTGCCGTTTATTTCATGATTTTAATTTTCACAACAAAAAATAGAAAACAAAATGAAAAGTGAACGGGGTATTATGTGTAGATTAAAATTCCACAAGGTTCACATAAAAATAAACAGCCAAGGGTAGTTTTGACACTCGGAAACGATACAACTTTCCCTCGCCCAAGTCACATACTCACATGCTTCCTGACACAAAATTGGCAACAATTATTTCCCGCTCTTTCTGTTTGGCTGACTTCTTGAACATTTTCAATCGGCGGGTTCGAAAATATCAAAACTCAAATTCCCGCGCCGAATGAACTTTCAGAAGTTGGGCCTAACAGTCTTGCCTCACGGCTGTGTATTACTAATACTATCTTCTTTTAGGTAAGGCCCAAAGAACTTCAAGCCCACTGCTTCATCATCGAATTAATTCGCCGGGCCGGTAGATTGAAGCTACGAAAAGTTGAAAACTCCCCCCGCTGACCGCCCGCTTCCTAGTGTCTGATGGCGTCACTCAGTATGTGAGCTCTTATAGCTGGCTTATTTTAATGCCGGAATTATCACAATTCACAACCGTGACGAATATGGTGATGCAACGCAACGCAACGCTAACCCTTTCGCCGAGTCAACCTGGTCCTTCCTTTCCCAGTTCCCCGCCCGCATATAAATCGACAATCGCCACGAAATCACATCCTCACAATTTTCCCCTCCTCAGGTCTCAAACTCATCATGGCACAATCAACATCTTCTTCCATTCCCCAGCTCCCACTCGCCGGCCGAGTAGCCATCGTCACCGGCGGCTCCCGCGGTATCGGCCGCGGAATTGCGACCCATCTCCACTCCCTCGGCGCGAGAGTGACGATCAACTACGCCTCCAACTCAACTCAAGCCGACCTCCTCGCATCACACCTCAATTCCACCTCTCCTGCCTCTGCCGTCGCCATCAAAGCCGACATCTCAGATCCAGATCAGGTACTAATTACGCAATCTCGTAACTCAGAGCGCTCAGATTAAATCGATTTCTTTTCCAATTAACGAAAGGGGCTCATCCTTTGAGCACAGGTCAATCACCTGTTTGACCAATCGGAGCAATTCTTCGCCGCCAAGCCCCACATCCTCGTCAACTGCGCCGGGATCATGGACCCCAAGTACCCGACCCTATCCAACACAGCAGTGGAGGATTGGGACGCAGCTTTCAGCATCAACGCCAGGGGAGCGTTCCTCTGCTGCAGGGAGGCGGCGAATCGAATCGTCCGCGGCGGCGGAGGGCGGATCGTGATGGTGACGACGTCCGTCGTGGGGATGCTGCCCCCGGGGTACGCCGCGTACGCAGCTTCGAAGGCGGCGGTGGAGACGATGACGAGGATCGTGGCGAAGGAACTGAAGGGGAGTGGCGTGACGGCGAATTGTGTGGCGCCGGGGCCGGTGGCGACGGAGCTGTTTTTCGAGGGGAAGAGCGAGGAGGCGGTGAAGCGGATTGCGGAGGCTTGTCCGTTTGGGAGGATCGGGGAGGTTGGGGACGTGAGCAAGGTTGTGGGGTTTTTGGTTTCCGACGACGGGGAGTGGATTAATGGGCAGGTTGTGAGGGTTAATGGCGGATTCGTTGTCTAAACTGATGACCGACGGGTATTTTGAATCGAGAATATGCCAGACGTTTGAATGAGGTGATAGTTATGTTAAATGGTAATTTAATTCTAGTTTTGCGTTTTTAAGTCCGTAGCTGTGAGGTTAAAACTTAAAATAGTTAATTTCAAATTTATAAGTGTGAAGACTGAAGAGCATTCATCGTGTGATCATCATTAACTACCGGGATTCAAACATATATACATATACTAGCTTTTGCCCGACCCGTTGGTCGGATGAATTCATTTATTTGTCACTACTTTATGATAATCACCTTATTAGAGCTTTGATCCTATAACTTAATGTTTTCTTTGTTTCACCTGCACATGCGCACAAGTGGACCTTTCTAGATCTGTTAGTCCTTCTGAGGTCAAGTTAAGATCTGCTCTAGAAAGATAAGTGGTATTCCAAGTTTTAGAGAGAGCCTAACTTGCTTAAATGCTCTTACCTGCTCCCTAGTTATATCCGATGTGGATCCGACAACCTTATCAGGGCATTAAATGTCTTATTTCCCCAAACGGACATGCGCCCCTACCAACGCTCTTGATCATACACAGCGCCACAAACGCACATGCGCCAGACTGTCAATATCCGTACTTAGGGGTGTACATGGGTCGGGTGGTTTGGGTTTAGCCATTTTTATCACCCGACCCATGCACTAAGGTTTGAGAAATATTAAACCCAAACCCACGCAAAAAAAATTATAACCCTACGGTTTATTTCTAATTGGCTTCGTCGGGTTGGCGATATTTTTAAGTAAAAATCAAACCCAACACAAAATATGTAATTATTCTACACCATAAAAATATTTTATAACTAATCAAAATTTAAAAGAATAAATTGAGGTGAAAAGTATCATAATTCACAAATGTTGTTTGAATTTTAATAAAATGCAATTTACTTCAACATATGCGTAGTTTTTTTCACGACATTTGTTGAAATAGGCGAAAAAGGTTATAAACCAACGCATCCATAATATATTATTTCATTAAAATTGTACAAAAGAAAAAGAGCTACGCGAATCATAGCTATATTAAATATATATATATCTAAACTTTAAGCCGAAGAATGCATTAAATTAGAGAGACCTTGAGAGAAAAATATGGCACAATATCTTAATTTTATCATAAGTATGGCTATGTGGGTTGTACAAAAGAAAGCCCTCACCCAAACCCAAAACCTTACTTTAGCGATAAATACAGGTGGGTTGGGTCGGATTGGACGGGTGGGTCGGGTTGGACGGGCGTGTTTGTTCACCACATCAGTACTGATTTGAACAGACACTTACTTCGTCGTCATGCGCCTCCGAGTAGGGTTTTTCTCCTTGCCCAACCCAAAATAAGCATGGTGGGTTTTATTCTTCCTGGACTCAGTCTTTCATTGATGCTATGTTAAGTGTGCCTAGTTTCATGTATTAATCTCCCCTAACACAATTCATTTATATTTTCAAATGATTTGGGTACACTCAATAGTTTACTAAAGAGTCGAAAGTATGTTTGTACTACTGTTTACATTGATAATAATTAGTTCATATGTAATTTTCTTGATCGATTCTCCTAAGGTACTAATTTCTATATATTCCATGTTAAAAAAAATTGCACTATTTATTGGTGCATATATATGGCAAAGGCAAGCGTACGTCAGGCATACGTTGTACGCCTTTGTTAACACTTGTTTTTTGCATTTCAATATATTTCCTTGAATCAAAACCGTCGGTTATTATTTTTTAGATTAAATGAATCTTGTGGCTTGGGTTAGAGAATTAGGGACTGAGGTTCATCCATTAGAGGTTAGGGTATAGTATCATGCCGCAAACTCTGATTAATTCGTGCTCTAGATAGTAAAACTCAAATATGCTACTAATGGGAGCCAACATTGGTTTGAATTTTATTGATTGTGAGAGATGGAGAAGAAGCGAAAAAGAAAGATAGAAAATAGGTTGGAAGGAGAGGTTATGTGACTATTCATTTGTCCCTCTTTTTTATTAGTGTATATTTCCCTTCTTTTTGTTGCTTTCTTTTTATCTAAGTTAATTAGCATAAGACGCAAAAAAAAAAAAAAAATCCAAGTTGTCAAGTTAACACAAAAAATATCACGTTAGTGTATCCAATTTATATAGTCAACATAGGTACGATGGTGGTGTTAAGTTTAACATATTTCATATATGGAATGACTATATTTGTAGTATAAAAACTGACTACTTTTGTCACAAAGGTCGACGTTTTGATTATGCATATGTATTTTTCAAGTATTGAAAACCATACCGTACCAGCGGTTCAACCAGAAGAACCTCATACCGAAAGCAAAACCAGTAGGCGTATGAAACGGTTGAACCACGATTAAACCATTATTTCAACATAAAAAACTTTACCGCTGACTTTTCTGGTACACCTTTCCAATCCTTGGTATTTTGTCTAAACTAAACAACACGTACAATCAAATATTTAATAATCATAATCAAATTAATGTTACTTGAGTTTTGATTTAAGGATTAATTTCAGTCTCGTTTGGGTTCATTTCTTGTGAACACTTTAACTTTTTTGTTCTTTTCTTCGTTAATATAATTGTCACCCTTATAAAAAAAAGGATTAATTTCATTCTATAAGATATCATTAACTTCAAATAAAATATAAAACATCATATACCGAATATGTCTTTAGTGTTTAATTAAAGAATTGCAACAAATACAATGTAGTTTAATTGTTTTTATTTTTATATGGGTGATATAGATTTATCCTTTGTAGTCTAGTTGTTTATAAACTTATAATACTTTTTCTTCATTTGAGTAACATGATTTCAAATCTCAATAATCAACTTTTAATATATAAACAAATGATATACAATTACTAAATGGAACTTATTCGAATCGCTCCCCGTCCACGAAAATCGAAAGGGGAATTGTGTTTACAAAGGCAACGGGAATTGTGTTCTTTTCTGGTAATTCTAGTAGTTACATGAATAGAGTAATTGACGAACATATTGGGAGAAATTGTGGTCTCCAAAGTGAAACCAAGACACGACAAATGCAACTTGAAGTTGGAATTGAAAGACAATTGTGTCCAAGCCAGATTTGCAGTTAAAGTAAGAGGCTAAATACATGGTATCAAACCAAATTTGCAGTCACTTTCAGTGCTCACCTCCATTCACTATACATACATTAAAGTCAATTCGATTAAGTAGTCCAAGCCAATAATCTCATATCCTTCAAAGGGACATATTAAGTATAGATAAGGTCAGCGCCATCCATATTGATGTGAAATCAGAGATATCATTAAGAGTTTACAAAGGAATAAATGCAATAGCCTAAGTCAACACATATATGGAAGATGGTGAAATTTTAGAGAGTTGTAAACTAAGAGGCTCCATTCATGATTCAAACACATATTTAGATAGTACTCTTTGGGCTTATAATGCAACACGCGAAACTGAGTCTTAAATCTACGACGCTGAATCAAAATCACAGATCAACTAAGTAGAAAATTAAGAATATGTTAAGTAAGAGTAAACATTTCTTCACTAATCAGACACTAATTGAATGGAGGAATGCAAACACAATAAAGTTGGCATTATACTCAGTATTACCCAAACTGCAGAAGCTCTGCTCACAATGCTTTTGTCTTATGTCGCTTTTCGCACTAGTCTAGCAGCTTAAGTGAAGAAGTAACATAACAAAAATCACAATGAATATATTATAGAATGACAACATATACGACAATAAGTTATCAAAGCAATCACAGATTGACATAGATGGCAAAATACACATCAAGCCCATTCCATTTTCCCTTTTTTCCCTATGTGTCTGTGTGTTTCTCATTTTTTGTTGGCACATGTAGTGGAGAAACAACTTGTGATCACATGCCTATTATTATGAGTAAAAAACAGCACAGAAACAACGGGAAAAAAGCTTCAGCGTTGAACATTGAAAAAAGTATACTAACCAACTGAGGTCTTCTTAAGAGGAACTGCTCATCACATTGCCTTCCAAAAACATCCTATGGTTTCCATTCATGCATATACTTTCATAAAATTAATAGTCCTTATAGCTTTCAGAAGAAGCTAAAACCTTGTTTTAGAAACTTAGGCCCCGTTTAGTATCATTTTGTTGCTGTTGTGGTTGCAGTGGTGTTGTGTAAACAGATGTACAACCACAACAGGAAAAAAACAGAAAACACAAACCTGTTTAGTTGATAAATCTGATAAATCATGAAAACTGAAAACAAGAAACAAAAACGCGTTTAGTTACTAATTAACCAAACAACGGTTGATCTTCCCTTCTCTCTTGGGCAAGATCCTGGTTGTTTCGTGTTTGAGGGTGGTGAATCCATAGACAAAAGAGATGAGAACTATAGTTTTGAGAGATCTAGGAGATAGAAGAGACCAAACTCGTATTGGAAACGTATTGAAAAAGACTAAGGGAAATTCTGATGATCCAAAGTTCATTGGCTTAATGTGAAAAAACCATCATTAACCACTCCTCTGAACAGAAGTTAAAGTTATAGTAATAGTTTCCTATAATCAACTTGGTTCATGAGATAATAATAAAAAGACCACCCTATTTGTTTGCGAGATCTACGAAAGGGAGGGAAGGAAAAGAACGTTACCGATTCAACAAAAGCACGATAATTCTATTTCAGACAAGAAAAAATGGTCTGGGTAATTGAGCATGCAGCAGGATTAGGGCTTGTCATCTTCCTTCACTGCACTGACTTTTTTGACTTGTGCCAAGCGGCCATCTGTAATCAAAGTGTTGAGATGATAACACATTATTAGATATGGTTTAAGGGCTGGGATCAGTTGAATAGATCGAGCTAAGTATATAAGTAAATAACAATCACAACTACGCAATAGACTTTTTAACATGAATCAAAGATTATGTGAATGGTAAAGAGTAAATAAAACTATCATGGTCTGCAATTATGCATATATATATACACATACACATACTTCAAAGGCACAAACATAAATGAGTTACAACATAAGAAAGTTTTCTGATTCAATAAGCAAATTTTAATTAGCAGCAAAGAAAAGCTCAATTGAGGTATAAGACAGTATTTCATAAGGTTTGCAAGAAACACTCACCATTTGTCACAGTAGAGAGTGCAGCAGCTGAAGTTCTTGGTCGAATTAGAAAGGGTCATGGAACCCCGAGAGAGTATAGCTGACGAAGCAACAACATTTTTTCAATCTTGAAATCTCCATACACCATCACTTGATACATCAAATGACAAAATCAGCAACACCATTTAGGGATGGAAACCAATTATAAATCACTATAATTCAGAATGCGTCGAGAACCCCAAATAGGAAGAGTGAAAATCAAAACATGGGAATACAAATCAAATTAAAAAGAAGTGCACAGGAAGGCTGGAGCAAACATAAAATTGGGGGTCTGTACAGTAACTAAAAATTTAGACGACTTTGTATTTCCTAAATTTGGGAATTGGGACTCACCGGAATCGCAGTCAAATCACGACGTTCTTGCCGTAAATCTAAACATCAGCCTACCAACGCGGTGATGGGGAATGGCTCCGGGAGCAAACTAACAACTTCAAACATCATGTGAAAACAAAGGATGCAAATGGTGGAGAAGTCATATTCTGGTTGGTGGCGGAATGGGTGTTCGTTCCACGCTGGGGAGAACAGGAGATGCGAATTGAGGGGAAGTAGTTCTGTGGTTGGTGGTAGACTCTGTGACCTGTGTTGGGTTCCATAACGGGGAAAAGCTGGACACAATTCGGCCCCTGCACCGTTAGCTTGGGATTGATATCATCCCAAAATTGGAGCCTAAATACGGCAATTAAGGTCAATTCTGCCGTTCGCAGATTTCAAAGAACGACGGAGGCAAAGCAAAGAAAAGGAAAAAGGTATAACGGAGAATTCAAAACTTTTACCAAGGCAGAAATTAGGAGAAAAGTCAAATTTGACAAGTTTAATGGTTACTACTTACCTGAATCATCGGTAACATCACTGTCATCAGCCGAATTCTCCGGCGCCGCCTCCACCTCCGCTCCTCCGTTCAGGTGACTCTCCGTTGCTACAGCGGCGGCAGCAGGTTTGACAATCTCGTCAATTTTCTCATCCGCGGCGGCGGCGGCCTCCTCTTGCTCCGCCACCAGAACGACGGCCTCCTCCACCTGATTAGCACTCTTCTTGCCTTCAACCCCGCCGTTCTTGTCCTGTACCTTCCGCTCCGTGACACGCCTGAGCTCCACCGCCACGTCGGCGATGGAGTGGTACTTCTGCATCTGGAGGACGGGGATCCAGTTGAGCCGCCTCCTGTGGATGGCGGAGAAGACGGAATCGTACTCCAATCCGCCTCCGTCGAGCTGCGCGAGGTGTCCGCACAATGCGTCGATGATTGCGTTCGCGGCGGCGAATTCGCCGCGGAACCAGGCGAGGATCGCGTCCTTGGCGAATGCGGCATCGGTCGTCATTAGCACAGGCGGTGGCTGGAGGGATGGAAACGCGGCCGGTGGAGCTCGATCGGGCGTCGGGGACGCTAGCCCTGCCGCCGGCATCGCTGCTCTGCACAATTTAGGGATTTTCTTTTTTATCTGTGGACCGCCGAACTCTCTGATTCACTCTTTTTTTTTCTCTCGGTTAGAGGCCCGGCGAGGGAAGCTATGAGAATATGGGGGAAATGTTGTTGGTCGAGAGAAAGAGAGAAACGGAGGAAAAGGGAGCTTGGGAATAGTTTAATGGCGAGAGAGAGAGAGGGGCGGGAGTCTGTGAGGTTAGAAAATGGCTAGTATCATTTACAGGACGGTTACGATTCCAAAAAGCGGAGAAATGGAGGCGGGTTTCAGTCGACGGAAGAAAGATAAAAAGCCCGCCTAAATGGGCTGCCAGGTCAGCCTCCTAAAATCACTCTACGAGCAGAAAAATTTGAATGGGGTTGCAGTTTTACTTTTCAGCTATAAATGATACTGTTGATATATTAGTATAGAGGAATTTTACAATGCTATATAGTATTGGTGCTATAGGTTTTTGCCTTTATGGTACAACTTGAAATTGTACCTTTAATGTTATGGTACAACTTCAGATTGTACCTATACTTTTTGTACAAATTCTTTTATGGTACAACTTAAACTTGTACCTTATGTGATGAAACAACTTCAAGTTGTAAAGTTGTACCATAACATAATGCTACAAATTCCTTTATGGTACAACCTAAACTTATACATTTAATGTTATGGTACAACTTCAAGTTGTACATTAAAGCACCAATGCTATATAGTATAGTAGAAGTGCTCATTAGTATAAGTCAATTCACTATCGCTTTGCGTTGAGCGAGAACATGATATTTGAAAGATTGACAGTTTGAATTTTGACTAAAAAATAAGGCAAAATACACTTGTGCAGCCAAAACTTTGACGGTTTTGTCAAATATAGACACTTTTGGCGAGAAAATAAGGTGATGGGGATGGCTATGTTATAATATTGGTGCTACTCTGGTTGATGCAGAGAAGACGAGCAGTGCTGATGGGGAAGCATAGGAGCGACTAGTGAGAGTTGTAGTTGTTGGTGCGGATTTCGCGGAGGGTTAGGAGCTGATGAGGGATGCTCAATTAACCTCGGGAATCGCAAAAGGGCAGCGCGAGCGGCGTGGAAACAGAGGAGGCTCGTCAGGCTTCTACGAAGCGGAGGCGGCAGCTATGAGAGGAGGAGCCACCGAAGGAAACGCCGACGTTTGGAAGGAGATTGAGGCAGAGATGAACCCACGTCCGTGAGCGTGGTGTTGATTAAGAATCGGAGGGATAACGGACAAGGCAATGGCGGAGTTGCTGGAGATTCTGAGGGTGAGAGCAGCGACTCGTGGCGGCTCTGGCTTCGGACTTTTCTTCGGTTTTTGCGCTTTTTGACCTCCAATGATTCCAAAACTCGTCCTCGACCCTTCCACAAATGCTAAGACCTGAAATGTATCAAAACAAGCACAACCTAGCATGAAATATGTCGAGGAACGATGAAATACTAAGCTAAACGGATAAGAAATTAGGGGTAAAATGTGTACATTTGGACCCGAATCACGCCCCCACACTTAGACGTTTGCTTGTCCCCAAGCAAACCTAGGTAATATTTCAACCTACAAAGATAGCTAGGGGACATTTCAAAAGGCACAAGGCTGTGAATCTCAAATGACTATTTGTGCATCGACACTCGAACCGTCTCAAACAATTCCAGCATCCACCACAAATAACATTCAATTGCATAAAAAATGAGCAAATGAAAAGTTCTCATTCTATCCACAATCAATGCAAGTCTCAACTGGGCCACTAATCAATCACAACCAACCATACATAGAATTCAAGTCAAGGAACTGACAACTGGGCCACATAGGTCCTCACCGGGATAGATATGAACGTGCAAGAACAAGAATGAATCGCTCACTCTCGACCAGTGGGGTCAGTACCTTTTGGTGCAAAAGGTGTGCACAATCCTCACCACTCATCCCTACCATCTCACCACCACGGCGACAACCTCTAAACGCTAGAGTTCACGGGATAGTTGTCGTCACTAGCTCGTCCAACTGTCTTAGACGCGGGTTCAGATGACTGACAATTGTCTTGGACATGGGGGAAAGACCTTTTGGGTGGTGGCAAACACAACATGAGGTTCTACATCTTCAACCTAAACGCAAAGGTTCTATGGTTTCGACTAAGAACCTTCTCTACAAACAAAGGCCACTAGCATCGGCCAAAAGCCTTACTTCTCCCTTCCAAACGATCACCCACCATGAACTACATTTAAGCGCTCTTCCTCGGTCTTCTCTTGCTATCACCTTTTGATTTGGTAGTGAAGGAGTTCTAAAACAATGTGGGGGTCTCAATGGCTTTAATGCCAAGAAACCCCTCCTAGAGCATACGCTTTGGTTTTCGTGGCACTCTCTATTTTATTTACCGCGTTTTATTACCTCTTTTTCGATTCTCTTTTCTTTCTTTTCTTTTCTTTTCTTTTTGAGGGGGGTACTAGAGAGTAAAACCTTTGCCACCTATACTTTTAACGACCAATGCTCTCTTTTTGAAGAACTCACTCCAACACTACATTTCATTTTGCATTCCTAACAAGAACCACACACAATCCTCCTATGTAGAACCTCGATGGAACTCAAAAGCGAGAGCTCCGGGATACAAGGAAGACTCATGTATAGACACGAAGAAAGGATTGGAGTCGTGCTATCAACACCATTAAGCTCACAAGCAAGAAGCTCCTAACATAAGAATGACTCTCGAAGTCACAAGGCTCAAAGGGATTGACTAAGGGATAACAAATTTTGGGATAATCAACATTTGGGCGTGGACTAATCCTATGCCTCCATCCTACTCGCTAATGAAAACTGTAATGCTACACACCGTGGTGAGAGGGAACTATCACACCAGAAGAAAATGATCGGCTCAAAACTCACAGGCTACCTAGCCACCCAATCTTCTATTCCACATTCACAAACTCGATGCATGGCGATTGTAATCGAAGAGTAAACAAGTCAAGACATCTCATTCATTTAATCACGCATGAGAACTAAGCCTTCGCACAATCCTAATGCACTCTCAGTCATCTTAATAGGATGCACGCGACTATATGCAACAATTCAAGAACGATGCCAAATAAGCACGAGATTCATCATCCAACCGACCATTTTGAACAAGCATTGCTTGGAGCCTTTAAATTTTTTCAGGTTTGGGCATACATCAAGGCTCCAAGCATTCAAAATCACAACAAACATTCACACTCACATGCATATTGGACTACCCCCCCCCCCTCACACACACACACTTAAGCTCGACATTGGCCTCAATGGCGTAAAAGAAGGGGATAGAACGATGTTACCGGTCAAGTTGTGAATGTTTGTGCTCGGGAGCGGAGGGCAGGTGAGATCCGGAAGAGCAAGGAGGCGGCAAAACATCACCAAAATCTCTACAATGGTCTTCTTATTGAATGGTAAAGAAATGCGAACTATTGATGGTTGGGTTGCCTCCCACCAAGCGCTTCTTTAACGTCGTGAGTCGGACGGTTGTTCTTCAAGTTTCGGTCCACCCAAAAACCTCCTTGAAGTTGAGGTTCTCGTCGGTGAGATGAAATCTCAAGCCACGAGCATTGGACGAATCCATGATTGTGGGCTCGTGAACTTGAGTTGTCATGAGGCTCCACCCACGAGACCTCTCCTTCTTTCTCTTTGCCCCAAACCATGTAATGCATCGTTGTTTTGCTTCCATCGCATCCACCAAGAGGGATCGCTGATGGTTTGACCTTGGCTTGGCAAACAGCCGCAAATGGGTCCTTCTCCAAAAGCGCGTTGAGGTCGGGTGGAAAGCTTTCATAGCCCTCGTAACTTGTGGATGCTTCATCTACCACGACCTTGTCCTCATCTTGGACTCCCCTTGCCCCTTCTTCTTCACCTTCAACCTCCCTTCCTTCTTCAAAATTTGATTCCTCCCAATGGGAACACCCAAGATCTACCTCCTCTTCAATGCTCACTTCCTCCTCTTCAACCACTTCTTCCTCCTTCCCATTCATGTCTTCAAACACGGTATGGAGGGCAAGATGCCATGCAAGCTCATAGAAGGGATTATCTTGCTCCTCCGCACTCGTGTCTTGGTCTTCAAAGTTGCTTTAGGGAAGGGGAAGATGATGGGAGTAGTTAATGCAACCTTTTTGTTCATACTCACCACGGGCGCTCTCCGAGGTGAGTTCGTCTTGCTCCACATGGTTGTCATTGATCGCTCCTTCAACCTCCTCTTTCTCCTCTAATAATGAGAGGCGATAGCTCTCACAAGTTCGTGCCACTTTCTCTTATAGTGTTAAACCGGGAGGAGGGAGGGGTTGGAAATCCATGTCGGAGCTCATTCTTCCAAAGGTCTCATGGCTTGCCTCTTCGACCTCCTCCTTCTCTTCTTCAAATGGCGGAAGGCGATTGTGAGCAAGTTGTGCACATGTTTGCTCAACAAGCTTTTCTTGCCTCTTCGGGCATCGAAGGAGTTCCTCCGATAGCCATAGGAAGGATGAGTCGACAGGGTCGGCGATTGAAAGGTTTGATTTGGAGCATCCTTCGTCGGTACCCCGGGAAAATTGCTCCACCATGAGCTCCCAGTTTCTCTTTGGCTCCGGTTGTGGAGTGGCACATGGTCTTGATGATTATCCCATGAAGGCCTCCATGGCCAACTCCAACTTGGATTTCTCCTCGGTTTGAGGAGGGAATTTTCCTTCATATGGGGAAGCCTCATCATACCCCCAATGGTATGGTTGTTCTTCTTGGAAGGGGGGTTGGTAGTAGAACCCGGATCCTTGGCTTCCCCCTTCGTGTTCACTCCATGAAGCTCCGGGGTACCCCCCATTCGGGTGGTTTTGGATACCCCCACCTATTGTAGAAGCCATTGGGATCCATGATTCATAACCTACACAAACAAAAACACAAAAACAAAATCAAACAAACACAAACCACCCTTCTAAGAGAAGAGTGGGTAAACAAAACACAACACGAAACTCAAAACGGAAACATAAAGGCAAGATAGAAAATGCTCGAGTAACACTAAGCGACCTTTTCAATATAATGGACCGTGGTTCCCCGGAAACGGCGCCAAAAACTTGACTCGCATGGAACTACAAAACAAATTAATTCCGACTAGAGTCTAAGTTTTTAAACTCTAGCCGGGTGCAGTATAGAGCAAGTATTTAAATTGTCAACCCGGGCCGGTCCATGTACCCCTACTTCAATCGCTTAGGTTGTTATC